GATGGATTTCGAAATCCACATTTGCTAATTCAAGCATCCCGCTGAAAATCAAACGTGACAAATGGAACATATCCAGCCTTGTGCAAGTCAAAGAGCTGATAATTTTACTTGCGAAGAAAAGAAGATCCGTCTGATCATCTTTGGTTTATGTCAGAGGTTTGAGTGTACTGTAGCGGCGAATGGTGGTGTACACCACAAACCTTTGACAACCCGCTAGCTGCGAGCAGTGGACACTTTAGTCTATTATCAGTGTTCTCGCGAATCGTAGTACTTTTGGAAGAATACGCTGAACATGTTTTCTGTTTACCTCTCATGGAATCCAAGGACATCAGTATGAAGGACGTAAGATGTACAGCAAAAAAGTGGAAAGCAAAGGACGATTTCAGGGTATACGATAAATAATGTCCAGTAAAAGTGACGTAAATATAGTCCTGAGTGTCTTCCAGAGGAGACAAGTTTGGACAGCGGCAGGCTATCCGGTAAGCACAATTCATGTAGTGCAGATGTAGGTTCTGAGCAGGTATACCTGCGATGGTTTGTATACCAATTGTTTTGAAAGTACACCGAGGATATCGGAAAGGCTCTTAAACAAAAATTTATTGTATGTCTTCATGGGCTCTGGGTCACCCTACAGTGTATACATCCTTTAAAGTAAAGATACATACAGATGACATTGCCGAAAACTAACAGACAAAACAGTTAGAACTTGATTATGTAGGGTATCTGGGAGTACTGTACTTGCAATAAGGTACGATTTTCGTGTTGGCTGTAAGCTTTCAGCTGAGTATATATATCAATTAAAATATTTTATTTGTAAGAATAAATTTCAATCAGTCAAAATTACCTTCACTGCTCGCATATTGTGCCAAACGAGGCATATGAATCTCCAAAAATGCTTGTGTATGTCCAAATTTATTGTAGATGTCGATAGAGTGTCGTGCTATACGACGATACTCCTAGGGCTCTAGACCTTCTTCCTTCGATGATGGAAGCCTTGACGCAAGGATCACTTTGGGACTGTGGGTAACTCAAGGACAAGGGGTTATTCAATGTAACTGAGTATTAAACCTGAATTAGATATTGATCCAGTTAGTTTCCTTATTTATGTTTCATGGGTTGCACTGGATACATTCATCTCGCGCGTTCACGTAGTCCACGAAATCAAAACACTTGGATAGAATTTGCACCCTCGTTTGGTGAAAACTTACATGCACTCAATCTGAAAATTCTGTGACAAGTTTTCTATCTCTCCAAAATATGAATAAAATGGATGACCTGACCATGAAATAGAACATCATCATATAGTTTTCTGGACAATCAAAGCTACGCAGAACAGAAATCCTTGGACCTGGGTGAAAACGAGCAAATGTAGCAATATTTTAGTTTACAAACCAATTATAAATGTCCAATCATTGCGCGAAATCAATACGCATATAAACATGATAGCAAAACCAGCGGTCGGACTGGTAGTACTGTATAACATTCTGCCTCGGTTCAATATCCTTTTCTTCATCTCTTAAAGTGATTTCATATGGAGTAGAAAATGTATCATCATGAATAGTTGCTAAATCCTTAAAAGTCACACTGGTCACCAGCATTTTCTCATTGATCTCCTTGTCTGGTGCATCAGAAGTGTCTTCGATTTGATGGATTATTACATGAAAACTTACAATCTCTATAGGCATTTTCCGTGAAAAAAATCATGACATTTACTTCCGAATTTAAAGTATATATTTTTTTAACTCAAAATATCGATTAAAGAAAAAGATATATTTATAAAAAAATCACAGTGCATAGATAATTTGAAAGTAATGGATAAGATGCTTATTTCAGTAGTATTACATTAGTAAAAATTTATAATATTTAATTTTTTATCCAAAAAAATAACAAAAATTTGATATTAAAAAAAACATTATCTATTACTATCAAACGGGTTGCAGATATAGGGCTGTCTATATAAAATTCGTATTGCTATCATTTTTCAAGGACATTAAATCAAAGATATGTATCACATACTTGGAAAGTAAAAGGGAGTTGAGGGTTCGGTTTGAATTAGCGTTCTAGCATTGGAAATCGGTTACATTTAGTACTGGATATGTGCAAATATTATTTGGATGTTAACTTTGTCACTTGATGTAAGAATTAAAGTCTCACTCTATAAGTGAGAGATTGCTTTCTTTTTCTGAGCCTAATGTCCATCACAAGACACATAAAAGAAGTCGTTAGTAAGGAAAAACAAAATATGAACGGAAGACTTCAACAAGATTCACAGGATGAAGTCAAGGGTGTAGCATGGACCTAATTCCTATATTATAACTTTGACATTTAATTACTGTTGCAAATGGATTAAGTATTTCGTATACTTCTAAACGTCATCTAACTTAATATCCTTAGGATGGTTCACAAGCTCCGTCTAGAGTTATAAGCACATATCTACTAACGTATGATACATATATTAGTAAGTTGGTGTTCATGTGATGACGTCTGTATTGATGATTTGAAATATTTTTCCAAAATTAGTAAGATATCTATATTATGACTATTCGGCTACATAACTTGAAACATTGATCGAACGTTCAAGGGTGGCAAAGAACGATGTATATCCATCAGAAACTTTAAAATTAATCCAAAGTAACACACGTAACCAAATACACTGTCATGACAGTAAAAAATAGTTAAAATTTACAAAATATTATTTTCCATCCTTTTTAAATACGGAAGAGTGGTTTACTCGCCCAAAACTTTACAAAGCTAATCGTAACTATTGTTTTCGTGAAAACCAATAAACAATAAGATACCCTCAAAGAGAGATATAGTTTGTAAAGAAAAAACAAATCAAGAAGTAACAAAATTCCTTAGGAGAACCTGATGACATCTGTTGCAACATCAGCGGCCTATGTCACCCATATGCGTACAGAGAAATAAATGTTTCTCCGAAGCTCTGCACTTAACGAATTGCAACAGCGATAATTAGAAATTCCACGATAATCTCGCCGAGTGAAATATTTCGGATGCGCAAGAGAGACCTACTTTATCAATATGACATAATCAATACTGTCCTCAGTGACAAACTTTCATGAAACTTGATCATCCAAACAGCAATCAGTATACATAGTAACTACAGTTTGTGAGACCTTCGTACTGTCTCAACAAAAATACTACACAAAAGTGGGAACTGTAACTTTCAACATAAAGGATTGCTGTTCTGGCAATTTGGAGTGAACAAATCTTCGACTGGCCATCACCGTCTCAACTACATGCGACGGACTCGTGTTTTGAGGGTCTCATTCACACCAACCTGTTGAATAAAAAAACAAGACGTACACTTGTTCATTACTTCGCACAAACACACGAACGGTCCTAGTAGGATTAGCATGGCCCCTGCGCAAGGATGACACGCAATAATCGAGAAATGGTAGTCTCCCTTCGTTCTTGACATCGGAGATCCTCTTCCACATCTCTGAACAAACCGTTGAGCTGGCGCTATCTCGGAAGATGAAAATACTCGAAAGATGCAATGTATCCGAGGGCTCACGTTATTGCAAGTCTGTGATAAGGTTTAGAAGCGATCATCAAGCTGCTGCTGATCGAAGCTCTGGCGTTGTCCATGAAGATCTCATGATGACCTCCCTCAAACTTGACAAGCCATCTTTTGCAAACTTCCAAATCACATGCAAGTCGACGTTCCTCACCATTTCCTTCCTCCAGATACGTGCTCCTCAAATTTAAACTATCTGTAGTGTATGCCCGCGAAGCACACAATGTCTGTGGCGCGTGCAGTGGACAGACAGTACGGACGTTCAAACTCATCACCATCATCTAACTAGCGATCACTTCCTTTTCCCTCCCGTGCTGTATACCAATCCAACGCTTCACGTAGACAGCTAACTAACTCACCACGAGCACGAGGGAATGTCACATGCCAAGCATCCAGTTACCTGTCAGCGCAAACCCTACACCCGTCACCTGACATATATTTGCACATTGGGCCCTAGTTTAGAACACCCGACCGTATTTCACCCTAAATGCAATAGAGGCTCATGAAGCAAAACAGTGCGCTTAGTCTCATCGACATACAGATTACAGATCCTAAGCAGGTCTAATTTCAATATGCCCAGGCCACAAGAAAAGAGTAGAGCTTGTATGTATGTGTCTAGAAAAGTCAAGTCTCCTGCCTCAATCTGATGTCTCCTGCACACAGATTGTGGTGTGGACGATATTGGAGATACACAAGAACATCCTTACCTCAAAATTTGTGATTTCGGTAAGAGTACACTAACGTGATTCTATTACGAAATACTTGGCCACACTCTTCGAGACATTTACTACTCCTTGTACAGTTATCTCATTTATTTGCGTACATAAGTTTTCGACTACGGTTAAGCAGACGACCAGGTACTTCCAGGAGGGGATCGAACGGTGGTCATAATCTCTCATTTATGTGTGTTCCAAACATTAATATCTTTGACGGTACCGCACTTCAGCTCCGAAATGTCACGGTTCAAAGACGGACAGCAAGCGGCAGTGCGTTGAACATTTCGATAGTTTGTCAACACTTCGCAAAAACTTCCCTTCAATTCGTCTGCCTATTGAGACTACTTAGGCACAATTATATAATATTTCGAATTGTCTTAAGACTCGGATTTGGTCACTACACTTTGGATATTGGACATCGCGAGGTTGGCCTGAAACTTTCAACCATTCCCTTACTACAAATGTCTGCAAGCTCCTTCCCTGACGTCCACTGACGACCAATTTTTCATCGGAGCTGATGGTATGCAATTGAGCTCCAGATTACCACCAAGATTTGAAAACCTGCTGACGGCGAATCGTGGGGTCTAGCTGTGTAGCTGGAGAGAAGATACAAAAATTAAAAAACCCCCAACCAGGACGTTCAGAGGCTAATGAAAGGAGCATAGATAAGAAAACTATTCATCCCATTGCTCGTACTTACAAAGCCGTTCAATTTATCTCACAGGCCCTCAAAAAATGACCAAAACCTCTTCACGCTATGTCTATTTTTTTTATTACTGGTCCGGATCCCTAAATGAATGAGAAAATTAGATTACAATTTATACAGGCAGCATAATGCTGCAAAATTGACAGCGATAGATCTTCAGGTTAGTGGTCTTTACCGCGAGAATTGATCAAAATGTGTAGTAAGGGGAAAGTGTTATAATGTGGAGCTAGGCTGGTGCTCCCTCCTGCGTAAGTTGAACACCAACCCCACCTAGCCAGTTACGTCTGGTCCAGTGAATGCACGCGTGAACATCTCCAATCACGGATCTGTCATATCTCCTTTCATCCCCGGACACCGGTACCAGAATTGTCAACTTACAGCTCCAAATTGAAGTGACGAGGCTGCCGTCTTACCTCTCTCTGGTGAGTAAAAACCAGGGTTCCTAAACCTCGTGCCACATGGAAACTTCAGTGCCCACAGCCTCTGCTCCTGGAGGTGGCCCTACAGGTCAAAACGCATCTGAGAGCAACAGTGCTGACTTACCCACGTGCTGCAGAATATGGGGCCGGCTTTACTACCTTATCTGCAACATCTTTGACAGCTTTGTCTAAAATAACCAGAAAGTCTTTTACGACTTGGAAAACTCTCAGGGGAGGATCATCCTTCCTAACATCACCATAAAAGTAGATACTCACGCCGTTAACACTTTCCAACACCGAGGAGAGATCTTGCTGCACTCGAGCCACATCAGTCTCAGCCCTTCGAACAAAAGACATCATAGAGTCGTTGAAGACGTCGTTGGAAAGCTCAATGTTATCTTTCATACTACCACCACCCAAGGCCAGAAGACCTCCTTCTGTGCTCTTAAAATATTTGCGTAGGCTGGCTCTGCAAGTCTTCAAACCATTGGATAGTTTGTTCATGGAACTAGAAAGTGCGTCAATGTCAAGCCCTGCCGCCCTCTTCACATTCGTTAGCTCCGTGCTCAGACTCATCACTACTTGCAATCCAAGATGTTTAGAGCTCAGCTCCTTTGGTTTAGAGTCTCTTCCATAACTTTGCCCCGCGTAAAGAGCTGCGCAGATACCCGCGGTTGGAGTAACACCGCTGGGCGTAGAAGCAGTGGAGCTGGGGCTCGTAGGACTGCTACTTCGAGGCGTATCTTCATTCATAGCTCGAGTTGCACGGGCACCTTCTGCTCGAATAATCTCTTGGATCACAAACTGCAGCAAAGAAGTTTTCTGATCTGTACCTTTGATATCGGCCAATCTAAGTAGAGTTTCAAGTTTGAATGCTTGTGCATCACCCCTGTATGTGCCCATATTCAAACGGTTTCCTGTCTTCAAGACTGCCTCCAACAGTTTGACGAACGTCCGACTACCTCTCAACTCTTTGCATGCCATCTACAGATGAACAAACCCATACAGAAAGCTGTAATTAGAAACTCGACCCATCCAGGCTGTAAGGCCGAACGATCATCATCTCTTCATTCTAAGACATGGAGGCACCAGATGCTAACAGTTTAAAATTGTGTACATCATTTTCGATTTTGCTCATAATTATAATACACTGAATTTCAATTTGATAGATTGCAAAGATCTACAAAAACCGTCATCTACGGAGGACTGTTTTTGTGCACTAAAATTCGTGTGGTTGAAATTTGAGGAAATGACATGGAAAGTGTTTACCTCCAAGACTGTAATAGCTTCCTCGAGTTGAAGAAGGTCGTCCTTAAACGTAGCACGAAAAAGCATGGTGTTGATACGCTGAAATGATGAGGGAATATCTAATATAGCAGCCAGAAATCGTTCAGCAATCCCTAACTGTCTCCGATCCCCCTTGAAAGCACGTAATTTCTTCTCTTCATCTTCCGTGAGAGTCATGTTTGACAATGACTCCAGAACCTCAGTGCTCAAGTCTTCGTCACCTGCCATAGCAACGCTTTCAGCAAGAGCTTGCAAGATTTCTCTGCATGTCACTGAGAGTTGTTTGTACTTTACACTGAGTGTCCGTTGTTATACATTACCTTGTGCGGTGCCTTTGAATGTCCAACTCGATCATGATTGACAGTAACAAGTGGAGTCTGACGGTGTTTCAACATTAGGGCGATTTCCTGACGATTCCCATCTTTGACCACTTCCATTGAGCTATAGTTTTAAAAGCAAACCAGAGATATAGATATACTTGCGCAAAATTTGAATAATCACCTTCAAGTAAAGCTTCACAGACTTCATCGGTAGAGATTGCAAGACCCCGAAGCTGTATAGCGATTATATGCGCTTTTCTTGGGTCGATAATTGTCATTGGTATATCTTTGTCTGGAGTCTTTCGGCCCAGTTTGTTCTTCGGCTGAGCTGATGGCAAATACTGAAAGAGAGTCTCCACTGTCAAAGAATCCAGCCTGTCGCATGCACAAATGAAGAATTCTATCAGACAAAAAAAAGTGTGAGGAACCACAGATACCAACTACGTACATACAGCAGTTACACGAACCGCATTCAGAAGGTACATACTTACTCGAAGGATCCATTTAGCAGATTGTCCCAAACCATTGAGTGTTCATTGTTAGGTTTGACTTTGTCCCAATGCAATGGTTTCAACTTCTTATTGTCCCCGTCCTCGCTTCCAACTCCTGCTTCTCTTCGTAACGAATTAACACGAGAAACGGGTTTGGAAGAGGAAGGCTTGAAACCTCCATGCGGTAAACGAAGGGGAGACAGTCCACCTGGTGGAGGCGGCGGAGCTTTTCCAGGTGGGGGAGGAGGAGGAGCTCCGCCTTTTCGACCTCCCATTCCTGGTGGGGGAGGAGGTGCTGGGGGTGCTCCATGCCTAGGAGGGGGAGGTGGTGGTGGTGGGGGAGGAGGAGGAGGAGGAGGAGGAGGAGGAGGTGGTGGTGGTGGTGGTGGTGGTGCTGAAACTGGAGGTGGAGGTGGAGTTTGCGGGAGAGGAGGTGTAACAAGGTGATGAAGAGTTTTGGGTGAATCTGGTTCATCTGAAGTAAGAGATGACTTTTCAGGATGGAGAAATCCATTCTCTATTTCATCCTCGGGTGTATCAGATGGCGAGGAATGCGACGACGATGAGTGTATGTGTCCTCCTTTGCTTCCATCTAGATAGCTCGCCTTCGGACCTTCTTGCTTATGAGAGGCCTTCCCAGAATCTGAAAATCGGCTTTGAAATTGCGAGTCCGTACTGGAAGGAATAGCGTCCACAGAGAAAACGGTCGAGTCCTTCTTACTGTCCCCCCACTTCGAAAGCCAGGCTGTGTTCAACAATGGTCGATCATCCTTCTCCTTTCCAAGCCTCCCACTGCCCTCTTCAGAGCCGATGGCCTTGTTCATGCGAGACCTCCTGTAAATTAGAAAGCAACAGAGAGCAATCATTGCAGTGATCCCAGCTGTAATTGGGACGGCAATCGCCACGGCCAATACAGCCGACGATAACGACCCGGAGGACGGCGTAAGTCCTGACTCAGGACCATCGCTAGGTGAAGGGGAAGGACTGACGAAGGATGCTGGTCCAAACGCAGCTTTCGACATCAAGAACTGACTATCAGCTTCAAGCCTTCGGAAGTGTTCTCCCACAACCGTCAATGCATCATCTGTCGAGGAAGATTGCTGTTCAGAATGAGGAAATAGTGAGGCATACTGAAAATGAGGCAAACGCTCTTCTAGCATTTGTCTCTTCGTGAATCGCCGCACCATCAGCGTCTCAATTTCCCTGTCCTTTAGTGCCTCCAAATGTTTCACATTAGCTGAACCTGGATGGGTCGTTCCATCCAAAATTTCCTGCACAGAGGTCCACGATTGATGCTCATCTACGCTTGCTTTGGCTTCGACGTCGACTGGAGACATTTTGTAAAGAGTATCGTCATTCTCCAGTGTAACTCTCTTGGTTGTTGCCGAGCTTCCAATTCCCTTCAACACAGGCTTTGAAACCGATTTACCTGCTTCCGCTGTACTACTCGCCTTCTCCCCTGACTCCTCTGTTGGCTTCCAAAACTCGCCACTACTGCCCGGAATTGTATGGCCTGAAGCAATTCTATCTACAGATTGAACACTAACAAGGGAAACTTCTCTAGACCTGACATCGCCACTAGAAACCCCACTAGAACTACTTCTTGATCCATCAGTCGCTGAAAACTCTCCCAGGTGTACCAATTCTCCTGTGAGAACTTCATCGTGCGATTGGCTCTCCGCCTGGCTGCCAGATCTTTGTTTCAGTTGTCCTCCTATCTTCGAACCTGCATGTCTATGTCGGTAAGTAAAGTCGAACCCATTCTTACTTGTCCCAGGGTTTCCTCCTAAATGACGATGCAAGAGAGGGAGCTCTGAGAGCGGAATCCTATCTTGAATCGCCTCTGACGAGAAAGTTGCGAAGTGCTCGGCAGACTTCGACGTATCACGTACATGAACGGCTTGTACCGCTGACAGATCAAAACAGGTGTGATAGACTGCCAACACCAGTATGTAAAGAATCGGTGCTACCTTCTTCCTCTTTGCGAACGCTCCCATGGCTGGATAATCAAATCCAGCGCATTCTAGGTAGACTAAGCATTTCCCCCTGTGCGCGACTGTGTCACAGCGTGAACACAACAGTGAGGAGATCGAGCCGGCACAGCAGCTGGAGACAATGTGCCTTGAAAGTACTGCAGAAATAAGAAAAGGGAGACCAAGAGGCGGACACTACGAGAAAATCTCTAAAAGCCAAGGACCGGGTCATTCATGTCACAAGGTACGAATTGTGTATGTTTCAGGTCTTTGAAGCTGACAATCCGAAGTAGCTGCACTTGGCGCGATCAACGCAATTTGATTGCCAGAATGGACCGCTGCATACAGATCATCACAAGTCCATGAAATTTGTGGATTGATTGGAACTAGAGAAGACCATTGCCTCCTCTCAACTTCTTGCAGAGGAATCTCGATTACAGAACTACCCTCCCACCTTCTCCTTCCTTCTACTAGTCCTCCGGCACTACTCGTTCATTAAGCATCACCACAACGCTGCGAAATTGGCCGCTTTCGGTCCACAAGTGTCCTCGGTGAAGCTTCGGATCCACTCGCGCAGTTGCTCCACGTGAGAGGCTGTAACGCGGAAACTCTTGCAGAGCATGCGAAGTGGAGTGATCTGCAGAAGAAAGATGAACAACTCTAAGCGTGAGACAGAAGTCAAGGAGGAGAGAGGCGGAACGACGAAAGAATCACAACCAACGATAGTGAGGGAAATCTGATCTGGGCAGAACAGGAGCAATAAGAGATGGCCGGACCTACGAGCTCGAAGTCCCGAGGAGGAAGGCCCGGTCATGTAAGGCGGGGTGGAAAGAGCGGAGGGCGGGCGAGCGAGAGTGAGAAGGAGACGAAGGCAGCTCCGAGCAACTGACAGAGGATCAGAGAGAAGGACAAAGGCGGGCAGAGCGAGAGTTTCTCGAGAGGCACAGTGATCTGAACCGCGTCAGGGGCAGCCAAGGAGAGGCATGTTCGTAGCTGTGCCACACGGTCAACAGCAAACACGAAGCGAGACGATCGCTCATCTCGCCGAGTCGGTTTTGCTCGGGCATCGACACAGTGGGGATATGGCACGCGTGACTCTACCTTCTGCGTTATTCTGTCTGTTCCCGTCTGCTTCCCCTCCCGTCCACTTCCGCTTGCGAGCACTCACCCCAGGCCAAACCCCGAGCCTGGCCTCGCTTTTGCTGCAACTGCTGTTGTTGGCTGCTGCTGCTGCTGCTGACCTTCGCCATAGCTCTTCACTCCACCCCTTCTGCCACAAAAAGCTGCGCCCCCAGACAAACCATCGTCCGCTGGCAGCCCCTCCCTTCAGGACCTGGCCCCTGGCCCTTTCCCTCCGTCCATCGGCCTCCTCCTCCGTCGGCACCATCGACGGCTTTCACAAGATCTCTACATATTTGCGTATTATATTGCGTCGCTGTCGAACTTCGGTACCTCGTTAACGCCGATTGAACGCATGCCACGTTCAGACGGCCCTCGCCAGACTCATTCATACCCGACGCAATGGCGACTTAATATTCCATTATATGACCATCCCTTGACGAACAATCTGCCTCCCTCGCGTCCTCGAGATTTTACTCGCTCCCTCGGATTTTTGACGGCTCCGGTTCAAAGCAAGACTTCCCATTCCCAACTCTGGGCGTCCCCCTTGTAGCCTCGGCCATTTTTTGGATAAACACCGGGAATAGATTCTCGGTCGTACCACTATGGATGTGATCATTTTCCGTCGTCCAGATCTTGTCTCTACGACTGCTATGCGATCGCGGCCGTTGATGCCTGTGCTCCATACATGAGGATTGAAATTTGCACCGAGAGGCCAATTAGAGGCCACCACTTGGAGACGAGTTTCCAGCTCTCGCCAAATTTCCACATCACCGAAACCGGTAAACAACCCTTCATAAATTCTTTGACCAAGTTTGTAGATTTGTGGTACCGCCAAGTAATGCGGAGTCTTACCCACGGAACTCTAACACGGACGATTTTAGAACGTACCCAACCAACTCCATTGGCCAGAGCAGATGTTCAACGATTTGGGAAATTCCTGCAAAACACTAAAAATACCGCGATCGATTTCTAGCGGTTCAAAACGCAATAATGGTATTCTTCTTATTATGGATGGGATTCGAAACAAAGACTTAATATTTGACGTCATATGTTCGGTTAGCTACCTCAACTATATTCCGGCCTGGTCCATCCACGAGAATTCCGTAATCTTCAAGCCATAGACATTTGCCAGAACTAGAAGTAGACTATACAGTACACGAGTAACTTGATCACAGCAGAGTCAGTGCTTAAGTAAGTACAACTGACAGAACATGGGACTGTCTGGTAAGCCAACATCGAAGTATTTTGTCAAGAAGAGAGTGAATTTGACCTCATTAGCTCTTTGGAGTTCTGAGACCATTCTAATAAGTTCTCCAAGACAACGACAGAAAACGTTAAGTATTTTAAATATGTAACGAAATAACACAGTTGTCTGAAGTGTATACGCAGGTGGAGAAGTTTGAAACAACTCTTACATGTCTTGACATGTAAGAGTTGTTTCAAAAAGTAGAAAGTAATGTGGGACAAAAGATGTAAATCGCTCGAGATTTGCTATATGGATAAAACCAATTGGTATCATGGGTCTAGACTTCAATCTTTCAACACTTCAAAAAAATATGTAAAATATCATCCCAACGACCACCATCTACGTGAAGACTAGTTATAGCACTCTATATTCCAATAAAAATCTATTCATTAAAGTATATCTTACAATGAGTAAATTTACTAATACTTAAAACTCTCTGATGGAACATGTATCATTTTACCCTATGATACCACGAGGACGTTGAATTCCATGTTTCAAACAAAGTTATTGTAACTATAGTGTGGAGAGGAAGTCCCCTATAGGATCACTTCGATTAAATCTTCGGCAAAGGTTGAAGGTAATGACGAATGTCGTGCTCTGGACACGGAAACTAAGCATGATTTCCGGCTCCAGTTGGGGTTTTTTTGTGTTCTTGTTTAGGTGTGCAAGAAAGAAAGTGCACAATGTGCAGAACTACTACATTGTTGGGTTGGGAGCAAAAATTGCAACCCCCCCTACTCTTATTTTGAAGCAATTCATTCTCGCCAAGGTTAGCTCAGGCATTGGAATGGATTTGTGTCTTGGTCTCAGTCTAAGCCTAATTTATGTGACCTAGAATCGAATGATGTAACTAAGAGGTGAACGTCTTCATGCTAAAATGTACTCTTAGCAATCCAAATATCCAAATCCAACAAAGTCATGAGAGAGAATAAGAAACTGAGATGCTTGAACCTCTCTCCTCTGATAATCTCTTTCTCTCCAACATGTCTTTGGTTTATATCGTTCTTTTCACAAGCTATCTGCACATTGTTCTAAAATGTTGATGTTACATAATTATATTCGAACTAAAATCAACACTATAATAAGCAAGTGTAAAAAATCCGTAAGCAATGTCTCAAGCACATATGATGTTAGAAAATTAATTGAATATGAACGAGATGGTAATAGAAAATTCTTGAATCTTGTATATTATATTTGTTTTGTTTAATTTTATCCAAGTATGACGAAAAATATTTCAAGAAGAAAGCTCATCTTAATAGAATGTCAACCTTTGGTTTAGAAGTAGTTACCTTTTCAAAGGGATGAAAAGTCCAAAAAACTATCATATGTTATCCACACAAACACAACAACCACATTATTGCAGGATGAGTACGTAAGAAGGTTAATTTTTTTTTTCTACAAAATTCAATAAAAAGTGAAAAAAAACAGAATCTGAATTGATCTTTTCAAGATTTTTTTCATGTGCTTTAGATTACTTAAGATTTTTTAAACTAAATAAATAACGCCAAAATATGGTGCATAATAATTATGCTATCTAACGCATCTGATTTATTGATACTACTTTGAACATATATCTACGTACATACATATATGTAGATATCAAATTAAAAAAAATTTCAAATGTGAAGCTTCTGCAATTATAATAATTTAATTACCAAATATTTTTCGACAAAACTGTAAATTTCTTAATAAAAAGTAATCCAAATAAATTCTTATAATACAAAATTGTGGATAGTCTAGATCTATTTTTGGTGATAATGTTTTTTTTTTGCTTATAATATTAAACTCAGTAGACATCTATTTCATGCTAAGTCAAATGCAAGTCAAAATGATTTTTCATCTCAATTATACCAATGGAACAACAATTTTCTTATTGTTTTATGATGTTTTGATAAATCGTTCAAACAAATTTCTACATATATTTCATCCACCATGATTCATAGATCCAAAGGATAATTTGAATGATGAGAACTGTTTTCCTGCAAAAATGTAATATTTTCTGAACAAAACTCATCATTTGAATAAATTTTTTCACTTTTCTTTTTTTATGTTTGACTATTATCATATAGATTGCATATTACATAGATTAATACCGAGGAGAGTTAGTGTTGAGCGAAATCCAAATCGTCCCGTCAAGGCCACACGCAATTGGGAATATTTAGAGCCCCACAAAGTAGATTGACATCTTTTAATCATTTGTATGTAAAGAGCATTATTCTGCGTAGAAGAATAAAATTATGAAAAGATTTCAGGCTGCATTCTAAGTAGAAAATAGATTCAGGACGAAACCCGAGACAAAAAACATACTTCAACCTCAGGGTTGAGACGGAACTCAGAGCATGAACTGGTGCAAGAATCCGTCATTGACTCAAGAGGAGGGACAGCCTGAATATGTGCATTGATTCTTTCATTTTAAAACGGAAAGACTCTCACATGTAAATGATGGTCACATGCCCTCGGTATCTGTACCCATGGGCTTTCATGCAGACATACATATATTTGGTAATCATAAGGTTCAGTTGGTGATATGTTCTTCCTTTCCTCTTTTCCAGATCCATAATGATTCTAAACAGCTACATAGAGTAGCAGTTCCTCACCTTCATGCAGGTTTCATAGGGAGTCATGATATCACCATGTCTGTCTGTCATGAATCTTCACTTATGAAACATGCTATCTTTTCCAGTAGATACAAGACAGGCACTTATCTTCTGGATCTTCGATGATAAGTACACAAGAGACATACATATATCTGGCAAAACTGATTTCAAAAGTAACCCACTCTGATTTTTCTCCACACAAGGTATTGTGTATAACAGTACCTTTGTATGAAAACTCGTGTTCTACAAATGTTGGTTTTTACTTTACCCTCCTCGAAGCTACCACAGACTCGGATGACTGTAGGACAATCATACTGCAATAATCTGCCAGTCAATTCTATAAACCGTAATTGAAATGAGGATAGTAACTGTATTTACTAGCCATAGATTGGCAGCCTGGTATTTTCACCATTGCAGAAAACTACGAGCATCTCAACTTCTAAGAATGCTGAATTTTTTTTAGTTAGTTTTAGTTCAAGCTGATAATCCTAGACTAGATTGTAAGAGAAAAGGAAGTAAAAAGAGAAATTCTAATATTTTGGTGAGTACCATGTACAAATGTTGATAATTATACAATGTTTAGGAACATTGTTGCATGAAAATCACCAACTAGCAATCTTGGGTACTTCTTGGGAAATGGGTTCTACAAGAGTGATATGATGTTCAATGAGTCACAATGAGTGTCTGATCCTTACTACTAATAAATAATTTACAAGTTGAATGAGAGATATTTAGTAATTTAGATTGAATAATTAATACATAAACTCTATATTCTCTAATCTAAAGCAAAATTACTTTGATGAGATCTAAAACATGATAATTGATCCAAATTTACCTTCATTTGATTTATCTTAATGAAAATCTTCTTGATCAAGATCCTGTCGTTGAAATTGTTCAAGTCAAGATAAGGGTATTTTTTTACGTTAATATAATTAAATAGCTAATTTTAGATAAGATTACTTAGATAATATATATATTATACTATTGGACTAATTTTTTCTAATGATTGTTTTTAAAATTATCAGTGTAAAGACTCAATGTGAATTGCTTTGCATTTTGAGATTTTGTAGAGCAATTATGATGATTGTGAATTGATTGCTGATATGCTTTTACATAACAAAATTTGACATGAAAAAAATATTTTTCTTGAGGAAGGTAGTGTTAAGAGTCATAACAAGTATTTTATACTTAGCAGTAGTGAATTTTCACCCCATAAAGCCGTAGTCTGAGATTCCGTTCAATTACAGATACTGAATATATTTTATTACATGTTATTCATATGAATATAATGAAAATAATTTTCAAATTAAGAATAAAATAAATCAATACCTTAATTATTTAATAGATAATAATAATGTGAAATTTTGGTTGAATATAATAATCTAAAGTTCGTTTTATATTGAGAGATATAAAAATATATATATTATGAATATCAAACAATGAGCATTATAACGTTCCATTTCAAGTGAAATGGAACGTTGTGAAAGAAACTTTACATAAACTTACAAAATAATGACTACAAAAAATATTCAAATGTTGTAGACATTTTGCTGAATCAAGTGTATCAAGAGTATATATTAGTGGAAATTGTATGATTTTATGGACTCACATGCTCTTTACTTATGAGTTATTCTTGATTTGATTTGATGATTAACATGTACAGAAATCGATGAATGAGTAAAGAAGATCAATGGCAGAAACATGCGACATAAACAAATCGGATAACGAGGAAGTCCTCGCACGATTCAAATGACAACGAGAAGGTTGCAGCCCTCCAAATTATATTTATCTTGCTGGTCGCTGCACGACTACGTCGTGCAGTCAAAACTGAACATCAATTCCATTGGGATCATATTATCACTTAGCATTTGTCGACTAAACATTTCGCTGAGAAAGGCTCTGAATTTGTAAAAAAATTAAATTTCCAAATATGTAATTATTTTGTGATATCAATCTAATCATCACAACTTAGTTTTTTGGAAATAATATAGACATTGATCTTAAATAATGACAATGTTACAGCTCATAATGACTAGGTCAATTTTGTTGATCTGTTTGTTGTTTTTGGGCATATGTATCTCTATGACAAGAACGCGTCATAGTATAGAGTACAGGTGGGTAGAAATGCATCTCGTTTCGTTTCGGTAGTGCGTATTTCAAATGTTTTGAATTACGCACTACCGAAATGGCTAGTTTTTTTCATTTCTACGTTTATTCGTGAAGGGCAGGCCATTCTCATGTGCTTGCATAATTTGTGACGACAATATTTGTGACTTATTTTCTACAAGTCGTTAAAGGTAAGCCTAGCATATTGGTATATGATCCGTAGATCTAAGATTTAAGATCGTAATCACTTCTTGCTTTGAGTACAGTAGAATTGCGTCTTCCATCATCTGTATATACAACGGAACTCTGTTGACGTTTATACAGTGGTTATCCTACCGAATTGAGGTCTTCGCTCCAATATCTCGGAAGTGCAAGGATTTCAGTAACTAGTTTGAATATTCCTTGCTCTTATATCGAAGGAACAGTCCAGTCAAAGTCTTATACATCCTGGCAGACGATGCTCGTCCTTTGTTGTGAGCAACGAAGCCTTCTGACAAGGTTGCGGATGTTTTATGGCCGAATTCATAGGACGGACATCGTTCGTGGAATTTGAATATCCGCGGGAGGTGCAAGACGACCTCATGTGTGGCCATACCCTCAAAACTTTACTGTTTTAGTCTACAGGATTCCGAGTTTACCAGAGTACGATGGGGTTGTCAAAACTGTCAACCGAATACATAACACCCTCCGCCTCAAACTGGGGCTCGATTAGTCATGGGAAAGTTTCCGCAACTCAGTAGCGTGGCAAAAGATTCAATTCAGAAAAAAATGCGAGTTTCTTCAGTCACGATAGCCACGACTGGTTTCAACGGTACATCTGAAGTTGTTTTTTAGGTGGAGTGGTATACAGTATTATAACTAGAAGGAAGGGAAGGGAAGGCAAGGGAAGAGGCCATCGAAACGTACGAGAATGAAACCAAAAGGGCAACATGGGACCCAACGAACAAGGTGAAATTCGTTGTGATGTAAGGTGATGTACTAGCCTTCTGCTTTAGTGTTTGAAGAACTGAAATAAGACTGCACTGTACGTAAACTTATGACTATGATTGTTCAGTTTGAAAAATGCCCCAGCGCATGCGAGCATGACAAACTCAAGGGTAATGGAGGTCAGCTTTAGGCCACCGTAAGACCTTGAAGAAAATGACCTCGTATCTTCATTCTGTTCCACATAGGGAGAATCGAAGAGTCGAGCTAGGTGCGAAAATCGAGCATGTATATTGAGCAGGTTTCATGTTTCAGGACGTCAGGTTACCCAACGTCCTGGTGGGGTGACTATCGAAGAGCAATATGTGGATCTCTTTGCACCAAACTCTCCACGATTGTCGTCTCGTCTTAACCCGAAACTCGTATCCTCGAATGGATATCTCGTTGTGTATATTTCTGATACATTACTGTCACCAAACGAGTTGGAATTTATTGGTTTCCAAGTTATTCTATTTCTCGCAGTAGACGCCGTCCTACGTTCTAGCGTGATGAAATGATACTGCAAACAGAATTAAACTTTCTAAACATTTGTGGCAGGTGGAGAGGACTAGAGAAGATGAGTAGATTCTAGGGTTGATAATCAACTCTACCCAGGTTCCAAATCACTCTCGTTCAGGCCTGCAGTCAAGACACACAAGGGTCTTCTGATGTGGAAACAAGATATTCGTGTATTAGATCTGGACGACATTTCTAGCAACGTCATGTCCATGAACTTTATATATCACGAATAAGTGTAAAGGGAAAGCAATGAAGTCGAAGTTATTTATATACACATGCTTTAAATTGGCGATTCCGTTAGAAGGTTGTTATAGAGTGATGAGTTGAGGTGGACATGGCACAGTATGTGGATCCATATATTCGATCGAAAATTCTATGAAACTTTCAATAAGTTGGAGATCGTGGAAGCTTCCGTTGCCAAAAGATAAGGAAGGCTTCAAGTGAAGACATCCGGATGAAATCTCTGCTGTTTGACATTGATGTGGAGATTTTGAACTGAAAGAACATGAGGTCCAGTTAATGATTTGGCAGAAGGGCGCCATTGACCATGTTGCGGTCGTATTTTTCTTGTCAGTTGGTCAATTGTCAATAAGTGACATTGTGTATGGTGAACAAGAACCTGACATTAACAACTTACAGACAAGTTTGAAACAAGAGCCTTTTTTTGGTTTAATGCATGGCTATCATTGAGATTCGAAGGTCTTAGCGAAGAAGCCGCTATGTCTTGCCAGAGGGAGACGAATCTTTAACATGTCCTGCATCAATCTTGGTTTTCTCTTTAATAATGCTTAATCTGAGGTTCAGATGTCCAAGGACATGACCCTGGAGCAAGAGAACCAGGACTGGATATACCAGATTTCAAATGCTCCTCTACCGATTCAACCCTCGGAGCTTTCAAAATTGCACGAAGCTCGTCACCCAAAGTTGTAGGAGCGGAGGTGGAAGTGAAGAGTACACTGCGCAGTCCTGACTTCTGGTCCCACCACCAGAGAGGCACCGAGACTCCGTGCCGGGAACGGACCATCGGCGCAAGCACCGACTGGTTCAAGAGTTTCCCGCTCTGGACCTGGAGGCAGCCGTCACCTCGACTGTGATGAATAATGAGGCTCTACTTTGCAAGTCGAAACGGACCCCGTGAAGCAAATGCGCTGTCTATCACTCCTGTTAAGGCTGTTTTGCTCTCTGCTGATGGCTTCCATGTGGCTCGCAGTCTTGCTTGCCTTTTCCGTGAGTACCTCCACGGCAGCATACTGTGTATTGTTGCCGTCCACACATAAGACCTCGCCGTATCTGAGTTGAAACACAAAAAATGTAATTTTTAGACATTCAATTCCTACAATTGCTGATCGTATACACTTTACTTGATCTGAATGTTTATTGTATACACTTTCTCGAGAATTTCTTGAACGTATGGTCACGAAACGTTCGAGATTCAGATCCCATGATGAGGGTTGTCCATGGGAGTGGCGGAGAGTAATTCAGAGAATGAAATTTGAAAAAACTTATCTTCATTCCTTGCTCCTCCTGTCCAGAGCTAGTCGAGTTCTTGCGATATGTATACTTGTATCAGATATTTGCAAACCCCTGACCAGATGGAGAGGCCGGCGGTGAGAAGAGGAGGCCTGTGGTAACACCACAGGCTTGTACGGAGGGATAGAGAGAGAGAGAGAACGAAAGCACGTTCTGGGAATTTGTGCAATATTTGACGAGGGACAAATCAGCGGTCTCGATTGATCGGACGGAGCCAGAGACTGAGACGTCGTAGAAAGCAATGTAGAAACAAGTATCCGCGCGTGGAGGATGAGCATTTCTGCAACGTACGAAGTCAGTTGGCGGCCTTCATAATTTCTTATTGAATGATTGCTGAGCGGGAGTAGTGTCCTAGGTAGAGTGTGATGATATACAGTACTGTATATAGCACGCAACCATACCTCCACCTCCGTAACCAGAATAGAAGTTTGGTAGATCGTGTGATGAAACATTTATACCAACTGGCGGTATGATCATCATCTTTCATCAGTTTCATTTCCCCTTCGAGCCTCTCAATCCCTGGCTACAACACGTCCGTGGGTTTCTGGCATCAATCGAGCGTTTTAAGTGGTGGCCTTTTTTGTATTGTATGAATCTCTGATGCTGGACCCAACCTGGAAAGATACGGAACGGTATCTTCAACGTGTGTGTCCTTGATTCAGAGCTACCTGCTTTGGTACTTTCCCCGCTTGGATTTCACTACCCGCTTGAACCGAGCAAGGTCCGTCCAGGGGCGCATTCATATTCCTTGATTTTCCAATTACTTGACATTACTTGGTGGCTGCTATTCCTTGATTTTTATTTACTTTTGTGGTTACAGTAGCAATTTCTTTGCTCTAACGTCGTGGATGTTTTTTGAGGTTGGCTTCGTGTCAACTCTGCAAGTCTCTTCAGAAGTGGTCACAAACCTCCACATGCAGCGGCTGGGCATGAGTGCAGTACAGCAGCCTGTACCCAGTGCTGCTCACATGCTGCCAGGAACGTAAGATTCTCAAGTGGCGGTGCAGTTGCAGTTCAAGCATATGTTTTTCGTCGGTCCGCAAGGACAATGGAATTATACTCCTAACAACGGATCCAGTACAGTATTGTACGATGCCAAACTCGCACTTCATCGGCTACCGAGAAGTTGGACAACATGTACACGGATTCTATACTATACACAATCCTGTACAGTTCTTTGCGCTTTAGATTTCATGTACATTGTACACTTCCTACCATGTTTCCGTTCACAAAGTGCTACGAGTATTTTGGGCTTGATCTCTGCATCTGTCTTAGGTCCCATGACATGTACGTTTCTCGAAGGACGGAAAGGGTAGTCTTTCTCATGTTCAGATAAAGTTCAAACTGTTGCAGTTTTCCACTACATCTTGCAGGTATCACAAGATCCAAGTTACATCCTGATGGCGCTGCTCGAAACTTCCACCTACTGCCACTGATGGAAACAGGTTGAAAAACACAAGTACTGTACACTAGCGATGGTGTGGGGCTCCTCGAGTGATAAGGTTCTTTTGTTTTCCTCTGGAGACGAGTCCAAGTCAGAAATCTTGCAGTGAGGGTGAAGGGAAAAATAATGGGCACCCTTTAATCAGAAGCTAGACAACGAAATAATGGTTACAGATTTCACATACCACTTTCGGACTCCAACAAAGAGAGCATGTGCGTAATACGAAACAATTCATATATAATTCTAGACTTATGTAGTAATTTTTTTTAAAAAGAAGAAAGACGAGGTAGGGTGCATTTCAAGAGATTTCAATGAAAGTAGTCGAATACTAAAAGCCTACTCTGAATTTAGAGTAAATATTATGAGGCTCACACTCTAGTTTTCTTGTCGGATTAAGTATCTTATTACATTTTCAGTTCTGCTGAATTGCGTTAAGAATTTTCTATTAACAGTTGAGGTTTTGTTTCAAAATGAATCTTCTTAAGTCAAATAAGAAATTAGGATAAGTTTTAGAGAAAGTTAATATCGATTCATAATTTAATATACGATTCTAATAGACCTCAAACCAAAAATGTTTACAAAATTTTAGCAAGGAAAGGTTTGAGTCATAGTGTCGGGGGCCAGATGTGAAACTAACTAATTTGGACTTAAAAAATTCTCATGGTTTTGAAGCATAGAAAAAATTATCTTATATCTTAATGTCATGAAGATTCAAAATCTCCGTTGATTCTATTTCCTGCATGACTATTCTGTTTACTGCCGTTCATATATAATGAAAATAGATTACGAGCATGCACCCCAGAAAGGAAACACATGACTACATAGATTTCGAGAATTTTCAATGAAGGCGTCAACAACAATCGAGGTCAGGAGGACCTTCAGTTCCACTGACCCGTAAACGATTTTGCTCCCAATGACGTCTTACCCATGGTCATATTATACCACGTTGCCGAAAGTAATGGTCTGATTAATATTCATGAGTACAATACCATAGCACAACCATGTTCACAATAGTCTTAATGCACCGTAAGAGGGCGAGAAGAACGAAAACTTCTTCTAGCCCTATTTTTTCCTCAATTTTGCAGTTGTGGACTTTTAGTGTAAGATAGACAATTCCGGTCAACTCACGAGAGAAATTTGTAAGCCAAGAGTGACATCATCCACACATGTTGAACCCTTCACAAGGTGTAAGTATCCAAGCTTAAAATGCATCACCGACTCACAACTGAAGCCTCTGGTGGTTTGTAGCTTGAAGAATGAAAACCCATGAACGGGCAGAGTGGCAGTCCCTATGTCACCCAGATGGTCGCATATTTGCTTGGAGATTATCAACATGGTCGATGGAACGTCCTAAGAAAGACATCTGCAGTGAATCATGCCAGATGGTTACACTTGAGTTACAGTCTATCGTCGGAATGAACTAGTCCTCTAATCAAGGACTTGTATCATCTCCAAGAAACCATACAGAGCACTCAATTTTCAAGTCTAGTCACTGTCTACAACTAGTATGCGTTCTCTGACAATTTTAAATTCAACAGGCAATTGATCGAGTCACATATTAAGGAGACCGATCTACACCAGTATACTTGATTTCTCACGTAGTAAGGCGTCCATCCATCTACATAGAGAGCCATCTTCCCATACCTACATCTGCTTCGTTGCAATTGTTAGCTAGTGATCAAATTCCACTTTAAGGGTTGAAGGACCACAAGCATTACTGTAGAGAGGAAAAGCTCAGAAGGCCCCCTTGACCTGGGACGTTATTGACAGCGAATAGCCACCGGGAAATCAAGATGTACACAGAGCTCATTCTGTGTTCAGCTCCTTCCCTGTTACCACTCCAACAACACGGATCCCTACTGCCTCGATTCGTCAATTCGGCGTCATGGACACACTGTTTTTTCGACGCGTTGCGGCGGCAGTGACCATCAAACTCCACGAGGAACAAAAATTTTGACCGCGCTTTATCTCTACAAGAAAAATAGACAATTTTAGGCCAACTGAGCCGATACTCTTGACCGAAGTCCGCATGACGACTTCTTTTACCCTGCTAAGACCTTTGAGGTTTTGATAATGTAGCTCTCTTCGAAACGTCGCACCACAATTATGATATTTGCCTGTTGGGTTGCGCTGTATCATGCCTTCATGGCCCAAATCTGTCCAACTCCGACGCATGTTTTAGTTTGAGAAGGAGCGCCATTGTCTCCATACAGTGAGCCCTCGACTAAACCCCCGAGGAGCTCTAAGGTTTAGGTGGATCTTGATTTCCCCTTGCCTTTCACTTCTGCAGATTGCAAAGAAGCTTGGATCGATCATTTCACAGAACACGTTTTTGTCGGGACAAATCCAAGATTCTTGAATTGCAAGCAACATACGACCATATGGTGATATGCAAGTACTTTCTGTCGATCGAGGTCTTCGATGCTGCTGTGGAAACAAGCAATACATACGTTGCAGGAATTCTATCGAAAAAATCCCGAGATTCATGGATGAATCTTGTTGATGTTCGAGCTCTGTAACGAAGAACCTCGAATTCGTTTTTCAATCAGGCCTTAAATCTGTGGACAGAAAAGCTAGAAGATACATAATTGTAATGGGTCAATTGAGGACAATAGCATACGAATTATGAGACTGACAGAGGTGCTGTCAAGCTATGAAACTAGGTTGGACTCCTGCCAAGCACCAGCAAAAAGTTGGAGAGCGGTTCTGCCCAAAACCCACTCCCAATCCTCTGAGGATAGTCGCAATTTGGACGCCATTATAGAAGGAAGTTCTTGGCAAGCTTTCGTGTAACCACACTCAGCGGCAACAAACGGAAAATCACTTCCCCAAAGTACTCTCTTCGCTCCAAAAGCGTCCACCAGCTGTTGTACCAATGGCCAGGTATCTTCGTAGGGAAACGACTGCCTTGACACCCGGAAAAAAGCGCTAGTCTTCACATACACCTGGGGAAACCTAGCCAACGATAGCAATCGTCTCCACGCTTCCTCCTCGTCCTTGCTCTGGGCTGGTTTGCAGAACCCGAAGTGGTCGATCATCACTGCAGTCGCTGGAAATTCTAAGCACAGCTCCTCGATATCATCGATGTGCAGCATCAAGCCTTTGAAACACATGAAACCCACTACAGCTCCTAATTCACCAGCTCTAGAAAACATAGCCTTCCCAACTTTATTCGTCATATTCTCCCCGGCTGGCCACAAATAGGGATTGAAACGAACAGCCCTATAACCTTCCTCGGCAATCAACCGTTCCATTTCTCTGACGCCACCTCCACCTTCGGATGGATCGGCGAGGCAGCAGCCCACGTACTTGCCTGGATACGTTCTAATCACACTGGAGACATAGCTATGATCAAACTTGTGATTGATGGGCTGAATTATGAGCGCTCCATCTACTTCCGCTTCTTCCATGCTCTCTAAAAGATAGTCCACATTCCCTGGTAATGTCGGCTCCTGACCTGGAAAATAGGGGAATTCATTGGCCTCTTTCGGCGATGCCCAAACATGCAAGTGAGAATCGATTCTTCTCGTCTTAGTTGCAGCAGATTCTTCCCGCTTCGCCATCATAGCGCTCGCTACGTAATCGTCGTCTTTCCCGGCCATTAAGATTCTAGATCTAACTAGTTGCACCCGCTGCTGCTTACGTTGAAGAAATGCGAGTGCCGCTGCAACCGAGAGCGCAAGAAGAGCTCGGATTGGGAGCACGCGCCTGGTGTCCGGGGCGGCGAATCGTCTGTTGGAATGTACAGGGAGATGAACGGAATGGGACGTGTGCTGATGGTGTACCGCATTGATTATGCTCAGCGGCCGTGGTGAACTAGGCAACGACCAGAGTGGCACAGCAATCCCGCAACACTTACGTGGGTAAGAAATTGATGAGGGACTGCGTACTCTTCGAGCCAAATCTCCAACCGACGGAGAAAAGCAGAGACGCACATTTACTCCTGCGACGAGCGCCATCGCCATGGCTTCTCCAGGCCCTGCCCCATGCGTGTAACGCTACCCGACTTGAAGCACTGTACGAGATCCACCTGCGGGAACGACTCTCCGATCCTCATCCTCCCCGACGTACGGGCCCTGACCATAAGTTTCTAAAGGAACGTGTCAAGGACAGCTTAATCAGCGGAAATCATCACGAACCTTTTGCCAACAGTATGCCGAACACCACCTCGGTAAGATTGAAAAGCTGCTCGTGGAAATTAGTCGGGTTCCCACACGTCGACACATTAAGATGTTGCCACCCCCTGTGGGCCTTGGACTCGGCTGGCATCTGGGCCAACACAGGGCTTCGGAAATTCACCACCCCACGACAATCGGTACTGGCCACGGACTGGCGTTATGCCTCATCAATGGATGTTCAACGACTGGCCGCTAGTTGCCGAGCACATCGCTACTCTCGTAAGACTTTCATAAGGGGCTTCGAAAATGTATCAGAACAAAGAATGTTCAAGCATTTTCGTGAAAGATGTCACGAACTTTTAGCTTAGGTCTAAGAGAAACCGTGTGTGCAATAACTTTCACTTGGTTATCCAATTACCACACAACTAGAAGTTGCTTTCGGCCCGACGGCAAACTGTCATTTGCTGTGCAATTCGCGTCTGGTTTAGAAAGGTATTCAACGATGGATGTCTTAACCACTTATACATTAATTTCCAAAAGAATATCATAAGACGGACAATCACGCGATGAGGTAGTCATCGGTAGCCCTTCAAGGACCTATGCGTGCTTGCCTTGCTAAGGAAATCTCCATGGAAGAATCTGTGGAAATCAATCAATCGCATCCCACTTTCCATGCAATAATATACTGTAGTTAAGGACTTTTCAGGAGTTTAAAGACTCTTCTCTGTACTCAGCCTCTGCTTTCTCTTCCGTAATTTCGCGAGACCGTAATCAAACACGCCTATACGAGCATGCACGAAACGTGAAAATTCCGATACAAATATACACTGAAATGCCGGCATACGTGTACTTGGTTTGCCATTGAATTTAGCACAATAATTAAGAAACATTTAATTAGTAAAAACAAGTTTAAACTCTAACTAGAGGTGATCTACCTGAATGAATACTCACAACTTTCTACAGAAAATGCTTATTTATTTTTTTAACATATAAGGTAAAATCTAATAACAAGAGTTCTGTTTTGAAATTATTCATGTCCGAATCCAAAACGTAACATGAGGCCGTGCTAAGCTACATGGTATGATATGTTCTTCATTACTTCGTTATAATTAGTGAACATGCTGCAACACTTATGCTTTTATTTCCGTCTAGTTTAAGGTGCTTTGTGATTTCCCACTTTGTCGCACTTAAGGACTTGAAACCCTTCAGTGTAATATTAAAAATCCGCGGGAAGGCCCAAGAGATAAATTTCGAAAATATAGGGTTCTCAAAGTAATTTTACATCATGAAAAAACGATAGTATTGCATCCCAGTGTATCCCAAACTGTCTTTCATACTTGTATCATTCAAATGAAAAATAAATGAATTAGAAAAAAATTTGAAAAATATTCGTTGACATATATTATGAAATCCACGTACATTTCCATAATTTTTAAATAAAAATAAAAATTCACATTGATATTTTACTCAAATTATTTTAAATGTGAAACATATGCAGTCTCAGAAGAGATATATTTATATAAAATACAACACCATATATTGCAAAATTAAACTGTAAACTAGTTACCTAACCGGGTTATATCAACTACATTTGACTAAGATATAATTACTTATTTCGTATAAAAGTAGCAAGTACTATCACAAACTGCAATACCTTGGGAGTGGGTTAGTTCGTTGAAATCTCCAATTGAGTTGGACTCCTGCATGACATCTAACTCAAAGAGACTACGATGTGTGGATTTATCCAGAAACTTTGGAAATACAATCTGACCCAAAATTGCTCACCCATAAAGGTAGCCATAGACGAGTGAGTATCTCAATAGAATTCGATGAAGTAATTTATGAGCTAAGAAGTCGGAGTTTACTCGCATACAACTACTATTGCACTTACATAGAGTTTTGTTAAAAGAACCCAAGCTTGGTCTCACTAAGGATGGACAACATATCGCGAAAGAGAGAGTGAATTGGAAGACACCTGACACCCACGTAGAGCTCACGAGAGTATTAAGTCGTCGTAGATCAACTTAGATTGTCATAACTTCCCACATCTCCAAAACAGATGAGATATTCGCAGAATAGTACAACGTTCCGCAACTCCAATCTATGATCATTATCATCAAGCGCCATTAATTACAACGGGTGTGTTCATTTATATCAGCTTCCGTACAGTCGGAAACAGAAAATAACGAGGGGAATGTTAACAGCCCTACGCAATTTGAATTTTGAATCTTGTCATTATGTTGGTACTGATGTACTGCAGTCTGAAGAGCAGATATTCTCTGGGAAATCTTCTCATTCCGTCTATCTCGAAACAACCGATGCTGTGTTCAAGATCTTTCGCCTTCTTCCGATCCAAAAAGATACTGCAGGACTAATGAAGGGAACCAGTTTTGTAAGATCAAACCTACAGTTTACTTCTGCGTCTTCTTCTTATTATGATGCCTGCATAAGACCAGTGGGATTGGCTCTTGTGCGCGTGTCACGAAATGACCTCCGTAGGTGAATGGATACAATATTTTCTTTTAATATTTAGATCTAAGTTGGTAAGGTCACGAGGAAGTGCTGTACAGTACTGACTTTGACTTGGAGCTCACTCTATTACTTTTGATTTTATATTTCACGTGATAATTTCGAGGCAAGAGGGCATGCCTAGTTTCAACAAAAAATTGGTTAGAAACATACACAACACGAGTTTACAATAGAAACTATAGTGTGTCTTCTAGATATCTTACTCTCTAGTCAGTAACCTGGTCGATAAATGTTATCAGCTCGAATTATGTGTGCAGTGCTTTGTTCTTTTCTAAAAGAAATAAAATATTATTATACACTTGACCTCGCATATCATCTCCAGATGATCATCGAGGTAATCTCGGTGCGCTCAGACCAACCAGTTGTAGTTGCGTCGCATAGTATTAAATCTCTTCTAGAATTCTCGAAGAGATTGGCATGCACTTTGTGTTGGATATATGTTAATGTATTTTTAGAACTTTACATTACTAATGCACTGCAGCGATCTTATTGAGGCACTGGAGAGCTAACAAGGCTACAAGCAAGTGGTGGCATTAGGTTAAACCGCCACACAGCGCAGCAGGCCGTACCTTGATAGACTTGTGCATATGTGTTTAAGTGATGTTTTTCAATAACAAAATCACATGTGTGGTAGTATCTTTCTTTCCAACATGATATTAGAGCTTGAAAGTTTACTACACTAGCTCTTTCCCTACGATAGACATAGCTGCGTGCTATCTCTCTCATGAAGCTCTTTTCCTGGGATAATCATGTAACTGTGTGCATCAATTTAAATTTGATTTTTTGAGAAAATTGTAAGAACAACTTACTTTTTGTTTGTGTTCATACTTGTTAATTTTAGGTCACCTCTTCGTTATACACAAATTTTTCCACATAATGATATTCATCTTTAGTTGGAGTTTGAATCGGTCGGGATCAACTTCTCCGTATCCGCACTATACTTGCCATCAAAACCTTTCACAAGTGATTTGAGAAGCGCCTTCATTCCGCTGCATTCGTGTCCCGCTTATAATTCAATCACTTCACAATTGTCACAATAGATCGTGCTTTGGGATTCATGTGACGATGATGGTTCTAAGTGAAGTTTCAGGTCTCCCAAGTTCTTCAATCTTTTATCCTTGTTTTGCAGGTAACAATTGACAACCTTATGTCATTATTCTCCACAATAAAAGCAAGTATCACGTTTGGCTTTTGGAAGTCGACTTACTACTTTCTCCTCAAAATCTACCTTGAATTCTCTTGTATTGAAATCTAAAGACTATAACATCTAAACCTTGTGTCACTTTGGATAATCTAACCTTCCAACCCCCTTGTTCACTCATTTTTCCATAAAGTGTAAATCATTCAAATTTTTTTTTCTCAAAAACGTTATGTACTTGGAAAAAAATGTGAATGAGTAAATCTGAAACTTTTGCTCTTTTTTACTAGTTAATATCCCTAATCTTCAAAATTGCACAACTTGATTTTTAAATTTGATATCTGAGTGAAGTTTTGACTCGCATGTAGGTTATCATCCAATACACACTCTTACAAAGTTTTAAAGGTTAATTTGAAATAAGAATTAACTAATTCACTATATACAAACATTCATGAGAGCTATATTTTGGGGTCATTCAAAACACTCTCAACTTCCAACACTTATAACTTCCTATAGACATATGATCTAGGCATGAAACAAAAATTGAAACATGCCTCGGCTTGCATTCTTCAATCAATAAAAACTTTTGAGATAGTTTTCATAATATATTTTTCGGTCCCTAAGGTCACTTTTCTCTCAAAATGAAATGATCAGGTGAACAAAACATACAAAATTATTTCTAGTGTATCATATGAGACTATTAGATAAACAAAATGTATCTCACATTCAAGCATGCTCTTTGTTCTTTCATTCTCCAGTGTTAACTACAAGTGAACTCTCATGGACATTTTCTTTTGAGCTAAAACTTAATCTTTAACATCTAGTCTATCTAGATTGAGGAACCGGCAACAAAATAAAAAATGCAATCTCCGGACTGACTCTCACTGAAGTTTACCTAAGATGACTTTGCGGTAACTCATCATGGTTTTAAAAGACTCGGATTGTTCCTCATAGTCATAACCCAAACACACTCATACACATTCCCTCAATTCATCACTCAAATTCACTCACACATAGACATTTCAAAAAACTGAAAATCGTCACTCTTTCATATATGAAACAAGTATGTGTACATGAATTCTCCAAACTTGCTTGAGAGTCTAATCCTTACCTCTCTATATATAATACTTGAGACTTTAGTATAATAACAAATGGTAATTTTATCTAACTTATTTTTACAAAGATAAACCATAGTAAGTTTGACTAGTTATCAATACGTGGCAATGTGTCATTGTACTTCTAAAATTTTGAGATGTTTTTTACTTCTTAGATTAAGGTGACGACATGCCATTTTTGCTTTTTAACCTCTACAAAACCTCCACTTGTCATTAAGTCAACATTAGATTTAGTCTAACCAATGAAATTTCTAATATATAGGCAAACCAATCAAAATTAAACATGAAACAAAAACTATATTTTTTTAATCTAAATTTTTTGTACAAGACAAAATAGAAGTGTTCATTCAAATCTTCTAGAACTTATCAAGTTATTTTGCCAAGTATAGACATTATAGTTAAACATAGTTATAACTTGATAAACTTAGTTATAAGTAGCTAGACTTAGTCATAACTAAGTTAACCATTATTAATTCTGTGGCTACTTCTAGTTGTATTTTACACATACAACATCCAACCTTACACGTCGCATGTGGAGCAACGTTTCGCGTGACAGTAAACATCATCGGCAAGACATATCAAATCCTATATGTTTCATTATTGCGTTCTTACTTTCGTGAGAATGTCAACATCTTTGTTTGGATATATTGTGCCGCCAACTTTCAACGATTATCACAGATGTTGAAGAAAACTTGCGCTTTTTTGTCAGCATTGGACTCAACATCAAACTAGAGCACATCATATTTGTATGTTTGTCTTCGTGTGTATGTGAAAAATAAGCAAGTTGTCAACCTGCACGGATGCGCACAACCAATTTTTGGACAAGACACAACCAAAGTCATGTTCAACATGATTTTTTTGGTTTCTTGATGTACTCTACTTTCATTGGAGGATTTGTTTTCTCGGCTTGTAGATTGAGCTCAAAATATGACCGAACGTGTCGCTTGCATCGTGACAAGGCTTCAGGTAGAACTTCAAAATGATTGTGATATGATCCAAATGTGATGCAGAGGGCACAAACTCGATCTAGTTATGCAGCATATCATGAATGTAGTTGTAAAGGAACGTTTTTTCTCTATGATGACGTTTTATTTTGCATCTCACACGTTAGCAGAACTTGATTGTAGAAATGAATAGAACATGCACTCGTGTTGTAAACCAATAGCTTTCTATAGACAAGGTTACAACTTGGTTCGAGAAGCACCGGTCTGAGCTTATAGCTTACATTGAATTGAAGCAGACAGCGAGTGTTCCGCTTCAATTTTGATGTATGTATCTTATTTCCTTGAATACTTTCACGGTTAACAATGTCAAAACCTTTTGCAAGATTCAAGACTTGACGATCATAATATCGCAATATCAGGCGGAGCTAGACGTTGTCGTTGTCACTTTCATAAAAAATCTAGATATTAATGATTCGTTGATAAAAGACAAGAATTCTGTCATGGATGTGACGATGCATATCATTTGGGATCGTTATGCGTTCACACTTCTGAAAGTGCAAGAATTTTTCGTCAGACTCGCATCGTGGATTGAAGTTATTCTCGACGCTACCGATGAGATGAAGCGTAACGAGTTGTTGCAGATGTTGGTTTAGTCTTCGTCGAAGCATGTGTTCACATTGAAAGAATCGTTGTGCAGTGCGATGAAGACAACAGTTCATTCGTCAATCTAATCATGATATCATTTGTTTTACTGCAAGGGCTTGTTTGCGCTTTCGCTGTCGACTTCATTCACAAGTTTTGTAAACAAAGCTTGTGTCTACAACATCGATACTCTGCGACACAAATAGACGTAATTGCCGACGAGCATAAAGCTCTTCTTCAAACTTATCGCAATGAGCCACTATTGCAGGAGAGCATTGATGGCTGTAACCAAAAGACATTTTTTCACAAAGCTTGGACCTTACTCTATGCTCGGGTTTCAAACTTCGACTAAATGTGACTATTGTCTAAATTATTTCTTAAACTACGCATACATTAAGCTAATTTAGTCGATCGCCTATTATAATCACTCTTCCATGTACAATTCAGCTGCTGTATCTAAGTTAACTAGGTGAATGAGTCGGATTTCGAAGTACAAGTTGCAAACTGCCAACAATACCGATTGTAAAACCAACAATTTTTGATTGTAAATTGTTGATGTAGGGGTTACAAATTCTTGATATTATAGATTCAATGATCCATGTATACAGTATTCAGATTTAATCTATAATATTTACATTAACTAAGAATAATATTAATATTATAATTAGTATATTTGGATTGAATTAATACATACATGGATCATTGATAAATCAATGATAACGTGTTATACGTATCATAGATACGTATAACATGAATATGCTGGTATCATAGATACCAGCATATTCATGTATTATATATTATATAGTAAGATTATTCATTGTAAATGCATCGTTGATTCTATACTTTATTCCACTTTGTAGTACACTTTTTGAACTTCGTACTTGATTAATATCCAATGCACTTTTGAACCCGTCGAACTTCTAATGCCCGGCGTTGCCTCCATTTGAGCAGGAAACAAGCGTGGCATGATACACTCCAAAGTGTAACAAAGAAGCTTCGACCTTAACACCTTAATGTTGTGCATACTTACTCCAGTTCACGATGTACTATGCACTCCCAAGACGCGCGGCGATATAGGAATCACCGACATGTCCCTGGAAACCTGGAGCACACCTGTAAATCCATGTCTGAGGGAATGAAATGAAACTAAGAAATACCGGAGACAAAGCCTACAGTTGTATCAAATGGGATAGTAAATAAATTCCCCAATCTTCAGACAGAGAGTATTATCATGTATCATTATATTTGACAAAGTTTTGGCTATATTGTGTTCACTTCTGTAACCACCGGTTTTTCTCCCATGGCTACAGATTATCTACAAAGTACTTTTCTAATATGAAAAAGGTTAATTTCGGACTTTGAATATACTATTAGGATAGGATTTTGTTCTAAGGGTCTCACGAATTAGTGTTAAATGGAACAATCAGAGCACCGTGCAGAAGGATTTCTCTCGAAATTAGATTTTTGCGCCTGTCACAAATCAGTTTGCACTCGTCATCCTTTCTCATGTCGAGGACAAAAGTCACCTCTGTCTGTTGTCTTCAACGACCGGCACTGCCGCACCTTTGCTAACCTACGTCCGGCAAACTTTGGGAGACATACTGTCAAATTTCTAGAGTTAACAGCAGAGTTCAGAGAGCATAGATCCGGATAGTCTACTGGTCAAAGAGCGGCGAACCTAAAAATCCATGTGCCGCACCGCCGCAAAATTCCCACGTGCGTGATTCTGTTCTCGTCCGGACGAACGGACAGACGGCCGGAAGCGAAAGGCAGCATGGAAAATGGACCAGAACTGGCAAAGCGGGCCGCTTTCGTGCAGGAAGAAGGCGAGACTCTGTCAGATGCCCGATGAGCAAAGAAACCGTGCACTAGCATTTCAAAGACGTTTAGACGTTTCAAAGACATTTCAAAGATGTGCAGTTCTAAACTACTACATATTTGTTGAGGGCCGCCCTCGCTTGCCGCTCGTGGTCACAGGCTCCCTCTCTGATTCGATCGATGATTGTCTAGATTTTGCTGTGTTCGAGATTTTCTGTCGAGCCGAATTGTACTGGATCGAAATGAGGAACAGAGTCGTGGACCTCAGTTAGAGCTTTGTATTCTTTGATTTCTGAGGTTAGAAATTTCTTGAGCGCTTAGATTTTCTACATTGTTTTTTACGAGTGTTTTCTTGTTATAGAATTTGGTTTTTGTACTCCCGGTGTTTCAAGGTTTGCGGGAATTACCTCCGATGCCAGTCGAATGTCTCACAAACAATCTTTCAGGAGATTGAGCTATCAATCCTGGTCCTTTGTTCGAACCATTTCTGCTGGAAACACTTGAATTATCGCATCGTAATGATTATTATGGATTTGGAGCACTCCCATTGTAATCGCTGCTGAAAGCTGGTTTTTTTTAATCAAAGCAATTGGTGAGAGTTTTCTCTTCTTTCTTTCTGTGTGCTTCAAAATTGATCGGTTTCAGAGAAAGCCCTTGAAGTTGCCGTTGGGAAGTATTTGCTTGGCTGGCGACATGCTTGCTTCAGCTGCGGTTGTTCTTCCTTGCTCAGTTCGACTTTACCACTTTTCTTGGTCTGACAGTTGATCTTCGTCATCTTCTGCAGCAATTGCTGATCCGCCTTCTTTTACGATTATTTACTGTTCTGACTCGCTCCTTTCCTGAAACTTTTATTGTAAACTATTATGTTTCTTACTTTCGTCGCTCTTGTTTCTCTCTCTCCCATCTTCATCGTCTGGAGAACCCTGATTCTCGGCGAAATTGCCTCGGCGGTTCACGTCTTACATCTCTCACTTCCCCCATACTGACGTCGGACATTCTGACGCTGGTGTCTATCATCCGTGTAGAACATCATTCGAATGACTTTGATCATATCTTAGTTTCTTCAACTGCCAAAAGAAATGTCTCCCAGATCACCGGAAAATAGAAGTGCGAAGGAGCACGCTTTTGAAGAAGAAGATGAAGAACGCTACGTCGATCATGAGGCATCTCAAGATGACCTTATCACTGATAAATATGTCAAAGAAACTGTGTCCGCTGAAGAACCCATGCCAAGTGAAACGTCTCCACGGCCGCCCTCTCCATTTGAGGGCTTTCTCGAGGAGGTCCCAGATACTCAATCGTCATTTCCGGCCAAAATAGTTACTGCAAGAGCCTTCGAAGATCGTCTCTTCATTATTGACAAGCGTGATGAGGCTTTCATTGATGAGAACGAAGTCCGAGAATTCAAGGATTCAGAAATATCACCACATGACAGATCATCCCAGGAATCGAAAGTGCCTGACCCTACTGGAAAAATAGATTCAGCAGTCCAAGTCCAAGTTTTGGCGTTCGAGGCGATCGAGTCAGAGGAGAAGTCCAACTCTCCAGACATTGTAAAAACCTAAACTACAGATGTTGCAAATATCTCTTGAAATCCGGTGCTGTGAACACGCTTCCTGTTTCCCATTTAACTTTAAGATTTTTCCCTTAGCTCAGGCTTCATCAATCACCGCACTAGTAATGTCCAATGAATTTCAGCATTCAATTGCCAATCAAGTACTGCACGCTTCATTCCTATTTACCGACGCAATCAGGGGTTGGCTGAGGTCACCTAGAGCTCAATGACATCACTTTCACGGGTGAAAGACTGAGCTTCGTACTGGCCCGATCAGTGGCCTCTCGCTGCCATCCCACGTGCAGTTGTTACATCCAGGTTGGGAGACGATTGCTCAAGTCCATAGGAATGTCTGGGCCCAGTGTCATGATAGTTTCATATGGACTTGAGCTGGTATCTCATTCTGAATGTCACCATTGAAAACTTCCCAAATTTTCAAATACACTGAATGCTATGCACCTGGGTGTTGAAGTCATCATGCACTATACTAAAGCTCCTTAGTAATTGTTAACTGCACCTACTCCATAAGATTTGTAACATGTGCTCCTCCGCTTCTTGATAAGCCGAACCCGAAATTTAGTACAGTTCTCTGCATAACGTTATGTAAGTAACTGATTATGGCTCGATCCAAGATAGGGAGTCTGATCTAACTCCAGTCCATTCAACTGCGCTTCCTCACGCATGTTTGGAGGCTTTTGAAACTGGTGAAAAATTCTCAGCTCAGTGGACCTAAACTTCCATTAACATGCGTCGCTAAAATTGCCTGGGCAGACAGCTGCTGTTTCTCCAGAACAAGGAGCAAACTTGTTGTCGCGCCTCACATTCTGGTAAAGAACTTGTAGTTGCATGAGTTAATTCCTCTAGGACCATTCATGACTTGTTCGGCAGTGCATTCTGACGGCAAGTGTGTTTTCATATTGTCCCAAATGACTGATTCCACTTTCGAAGTTAGACCTGTGAAGCTACTTTGATATAGTGAAGTTCTTAGAATCGTAGTTTGTTTCACTCTGATCTTGATTACTTTTGGAAATAAGATACGGAGAACATCAGAAGTATTTGAAGATTCTGCATGAAGTTTCCGCTGTGCAAACTCCGTTATTTTGGACTAGATTTTCAGTACCTCAGCTTCTCTCTCCACCTTAACTCGTCCGCTCTCGTCTTGATGTTTAACCGGTTCGAGCGACAGGAGTCAGAAAAATGAAAGATTATTTCTATATTTTCCAGGTGGATAAATAGCCTGATGTGGACGGGATTTAAGAAGCCGCTGGAGATCGTGGATTTGCCCTCTCTCCCTGAATGGGATGACGCGGATGTTGTCCACAAGTTGTTTATGAGTGCTTGGAAAACTGAGCAGCAAAAACTTGAGTAGGATTTTCTTTCCTGCGCTCCAGCTTGTGAAATTTCACCAAGTATCCACATACATCAACAAACTGGGGAAAAAATTGTTTGAGCTTGTGTTTTACCGAGAAGAATAAACGCCGCCTTTCCAAATCAAACCTTAATCTGGATCCTAGTTTTTAGAGCACTCAGATGTGGGGAATATAAAAGTTCAGAACACCGTAGGGGTCATCACAGCAAAAGTTAGCGTGTAACGGTTCGTCATTTCTTCGTCATTTACAATTGCCTTCCCTCTTAAGATGGGCAATAAGCTTTGCGTCAGTCTGGAAATTCTGACCTACTTACCACTCCGATCCTCGAATATTCAGGTTATCCTCCCTCAAACCTTATTTGAGATTCTTGTAGATGTTGTTTCCAAATGTGTAACATGTCCAAAATGTGCTGTATTTCAAGCATGTGTGGTAAAGTCGTAATCTGTTGTTCTTGCAGTCCATCACTGTTGAAAACCTTGTTCAAGGTATTTTGGCCGAAATTGCTTATAGCTGCGTTCCTCCAGCTGTTATCAATCCTACTTCAGTTTACTCCACCAATATTTCGTATCCTTCTTACGGATTTGACGTACTGGCATTTTTGATTCTGGAGCTACTAGCATATTCTTGCATGTTGGGAGGTGACGATATATCACACGTAGTTAGTTTCTCGCTATTTGTAACCTCATATTCGGGCTGTAGCACTGACATACAGCAGTAAATTCGGTTTGTGCAACTTAATAAGAAAGCAGTGAATTCTCTTCTTACATATATTCAAGGGAATCCGACGACGAACTTCATGTTTAGAATATTTGGTACGCTCTAAACCTTATTGATCTGTGATTCTTCTATGGGCCGATATATTCAACCAAACCAAATCACGATCCTATAAGTGCCTGACACGGAAGAAGGTACTTGAAAGTGTTGGTACAGGCCATCGTTTTGGATATTATACCGCTGCAGCTTTCCTGGTTGTTCCCACTGTCAGATCACTGACGGATAATACGATTATGCAGATAATGTTCCGACTGGGCATGAATGTAAGTAGCGGTTGCCCTCCACAATCTATTTTTTTGTTCTTACGAAAACTTATTCTAATATCTATCGAGCCTGCTCTACTCAGAGGTGTGTGCAAAGCTCTTGCCAAAGTTGTACTTTTCCGCTTCAAATGCCAAGCAAATTCTCGGTGTGCTCTAATTGACAGATGAAGACAGCCCTTATTAAAACTGTCTATCAAAAAAGCCTCAACTTGTCCAACTCCGCTCGACAAAGCAAGTCTGTGGGTGAGATTGTTATTTTAATGCAGGTTTGAAATACCAACTATTTTCGTATGCTTACCACTGGTAGCTTCGAATATCTGATGTCAGAAAATCGTATTACAAGCTTGCTATCATAGCTGAAATAACGCATCATACTTTTCCTCTCATCGTTTCCCGTTGAACGTACGCTTTTAGACTGGGCAGTTGTCTAATACAATGACCTGCACTTATGCCTAATAACCCTATGCCAGGTCGATACTGAGAAAGTAAATGGAGCATCACCTTTTCTGCAGACAACATGGAGCGCAATAGTTCAGGTGAAAGATTCCTTGAGGTCCAAACTTACTGGGAGCTTTCTTTGTTCTTTGTAACGAACAATCCTGCTATGTCACGATAAATATTGTTGAATTTGGTTCGGATTATAATATTGGGGTGCTTATCTTGCTCACCTAAACATATGATGCAATTTTTAGACTCATAAGACATCAAGATTCATGGTTTCAATGAACAGGTGATCGGGAATATTGCGCTACTGCTTTACTATATGGGTTGGAGTGCTATGGTGGGAATTGGCTTGCTTCTGTTAACCATACCAATGCAGGTAAGACTGGTCCTGTACGCCTAATGTTCACTGGTTAAAGGAAGTCACATATACATAGGTGTGTGCTTGATGACAAATGAAAGATATAGGGCAGTCCACACCCTTTAAGAGTTCATATCTTATTCAAGATTCCTGAAGTAAGAGATGCAGTTTATCATCAATAACATCGATGAACTTCAAGCAGGGAAAGGTGGTTCAAAACATGATGCTTATTCAAAAAGTCATTCTGAAAAATACTGGAAGGCGCGTAAAGGTATGTATTGTGGATGCCGCAGTGAGTTACGCTGTAGCCTTTGCAATTTAATACTAAGAAATAGTATGTATCGGAATATATGAGACATCACAAGAAGCTACTTGCAGCATCTACAACCTAATCAAGAAATGTTGTCTTAGTACTTGGCCTCGTTGACCGAGGTTGTCAAAATTATGAACACTGCGTAGTTCAATATGATTTCATGGGAACCTTCTCTTATTTTGCAGTCTTCTGCCAACTAAGTTTCTTTAAGTATTTCGATCCTTGTTTATAGTCAAGAGTACTTTAGCCTTGTCGGTTTCTAGTAGATATAGAGTCGCTACCCTTTTATACAATTGACCTCTTATCTTTAACCTTCCATGTTCTTCCTCTCAAGGTCGTAAATGAAGTCCTCCAAGGTATAAGAGTTGTAAAGGCATATGCCTGGGAAGAACCTTTCAACGCAACTATCAACGGTGTTCGGTCAGTATGAGCCTCTCTCGAATGATTATTTGACACTACCTGAACGATGTATTTTGACATACATTAGTTTCACGGCCAACTTTTGGAGTTTTTAGAAGTCGAAGTTATGTGCTGAGAGACTTTTCCCCAAATCTTATGCGGAAGTAATTGGTGTTTGACATGCTGCTGAAGGGCCTTGGAGCTTAAATCTATGAGAAGACGGGTGTTTCTCAGAGCTCTACAGACTTGCCTCATGCTTGCTACGCCGGTTCTGATAATGGTGGTAAGTTCATTGAAGATCCACCTGACGTGGAAGATACGTCCCTCCTTGTGAATTCAAAACCATGACAATCTATGTCCGCGGAATTCCTGCGAGCTCTCAGTGGCCCACAGTATTGGCCACTGAGAGCTCCAAGCCTGCGAATAAAATATTATATACCTCAACATTCTATTCTGTTTGATCGTTTTTAGCATAATAGAGATAAATCGAAAAAGTCCTTGATGAAGCATACAGCAGCCCAGAAACTTGAAAAGTGACACGAGGTTCTAGCTTGAAATAAATTTATCTTACATACAGGTCAGTTTTTCGATCTATGCTGGTGTGCAAAAGAAGGACATGACTGCAGCAACTGTTTTCACCTGCCTCTCTCTCTTCAACAGTCTTCGTCAACCTCTTATGATGTGTGAGTTAGTCACTTAAGCTTCTGCTTCCTGTGGCATGGTAGGATATAGAGAGCAGTTGGGAAAACTGTAGTGTCTCGGGTGCATGTTTAAACCAACATATGATGTGTCCCTTAATATGATGTTGTATGAATCTGTTATAGGGTATCAGTTACATCCTTAGTCAAGCTTCTACGTTCTCCCTGCCATACCTGTCAAAATTAAGTGATTAGGGTGCACAAAGCTTGAGAATACTTATTCGTAACATTTGTGCGATTCAATTTTTTTGATACAGATCCATTTGTAATCAACGGCGTCATTTCTGGCTATGTAAGTAAAACTCAGCCTTAGTCATATCCCAAAACATCCTTACGCAATCTAATCACACTGTTGGCAGCGCTCAGTTATTGTTGAGGTTGGTCTCCGACGCAATTTGAGAGCCTCATGAAACTTGTCAGTTTTTGTGACGGAGATGCTGGCGTTTCGTTTCGTGTTGAACCTGTTATCTGGCTCTAGCTGAAGAGTTTGCTTTTTGAACATTTGAGGTTTTATCCTTGAGTATTTCAAAATCAATGTAGTTAATGAACTCCTAGTTGGTCGTGCTACTCATTATGTAGATTTAGAGAAATTCTGCGATAGTTGCTGAAATGTGGACTGTGCAGGTATCATTGAATAGGCTATCTCGATTCATGCAGAGTGAAGAAATGCACCCTATTCCAAGAGGGCCCATTACAGGCGACAAACCTGTGCTGCATATGGAAAACAGCACCTTTCAGTGGTCAGTTAAACCTAGCACCATGAGCAGCTCTGATGCCTTATCCTAAGCTGACAAGTTCTTATGTACATACGCTTGAAACTCACCCAGATTTGTTGAAGATCAGTATGAGTTGTTTAAGTTCAGACTTCATTCATGAAACGCAAGATTAAGGATGAACGGAATTTGTACTGGCCCCTTCTGTACTACCTGATATGGATGTCTCGTTGTTCAACTAGGGTATCAGGGTCAATTGGAGGATTTGGAAGGCCTAGTCCCGATGCTTATAGTCCTGGTAAGTTGATCGGACTTGGATCAGTTACAATCAGGAAGGTTGTGAAAATTCTATAACAGTCAACTCTTAAACAAGTAAAGGAGGCAAAAGCGAAGGACACTCCTCTCAGAGATTAACCAAGCAAAACTATGCTACAAAACTTCAACGATTTTGAGATCGATCGGTTCGAGAGATTCTCTTGTCTTTGACATCGCTCATAAGAGCTGTCATGACAAGAAAGAATCACCAACACACCACAGCGTTGAAATTGTGAACTGCTTACTTCCCTCTATGCCAAACATTACTGCCAAACAAACGAGCTGAAATTTTGGCTATCAGAATCGGAAACTTGCTCAACAAGATTGTTGTGTGGTCTTTTATCTCCAAATGTTCCAGTTGTATCGCTGTCCTCATTCAAAAACTATTCAAACTGCATTCGAAGTTTTGAGTAAGGTTGTTGGGTTGTGGCTTAGGGTAGTCATGGAGGATGAGTCGAAAGATACTACTTCAGTGGGAACAAGCAAATCAGGTGTTTATCAGAAGAAACTAGATCCAGAAGTTACCCCCCGACCTGAAAAGTTTTCTCTAAGAAACATATCGCTTACAGTAAACAGGTGAGGTATCTGGGAATCCATAGAACCTGCAGACAAGGATTTGAATTGCATCAGGAGCTATGACGAACATGATGTTTTTATATAATATTTAGGCAAGACTGTTACATGTGAAACATTTTTTTCTTTGTAAACTTCTGTGTAGTTGTTCTTTCCGCTTGTATAGAATACTATGAGTTCCAAGTGCGAAACCGGTATATCTTTAACCTAAAACATTCTTTATACTCTGGCAGAGGTCAACTTGTAGCTATTGTTGGGCCAGTTGGCAGCGGGAAGAGTTCCTTAGCTGCAGCATTTCTTGGTGAAATGCAGCAGATTTCTGGCGAAAACTTCACCGCTAATGGTACTTTGGCATACTGTGCACAACAGGTTCTCCTCCGTTCCTCTTTCTTTGTGTGCTGAATTTCTCATAAAACTTGACTTTCTGAGACAAATCTCGTTGATGCGTTTCAGCAAGAGTACATCACTCAACTTCGTTCATAAGAGAATTCCATTCGGAGAGTTTAACGGAATGTAGACGCTTGTAGTCTCTTCATGATTGCTTGAGTGGACTGCAATGCACCGTAAATGTTGTTATTTCTGTATGAGAACTTTCCTCCACACCACTTTTTGTTCGAATTTACTTCGGCCCGTAAACGTAGGGATTCTAGGGTGGATTATTAAATTTCTGATCGAAGTTGAACCATTTCAGGCATGGATTATGAATGCGTCGTTGAAAGACAATATACTCTTTGGACTTGAATATGATGAAGGGCGTTATCGAGCCGTTCTATCAGCCTGTGCCTTAGACCAGGTCAACGTTCCATTCCAACAATCTATGTCGCTCAGATTCCCTAACCCAGTTCCTGCTTTTCGTACATCAACCTACCTGGTAAAGCGAGTGAAACTGATCTCCCTTCTTTGCGATACAAGTCCAGAGCTTCAGTTGTTTTAGTTGGTACACTTATGGTTTTCGACTAAGTGCATATTGTTTCTGGCCGCCGAGAATTGAGAGCAGAGGATCATTTGCTGCCACTCATGTACGCTAACATTCCTTCGTAATTCGGTGAACAGGATTTGGTGAACTTACCAGATGGAGATCAGACTGAAATAGGCGAGCGTGGCATCAACTTGAGTGGTGGTCAAAAGCAACGAGTTTCTCTAGCACGTGCCGTATATGCTGACATGGATGTGTATCTACTCGACGATCCACTCAGGTGAGCAGGCATTATCATCTCACCCCTTGGCTTTTACTGGTACAAGTCTTCAAGTTTTCCTGGATTCCAAGTTTACATCATTAAATTCCTGAAGCTCCTAGTTCAAATTCCATCTCTCAAACATGAACGATTGGCAGTGCTGTAGATGCGCATGTTGGAGCCCATCTATTTTCAAAGTGCATAACAGGCTTCCTTTCCGACAAGACTCGCATCTTTATTACAAACCAGGTAAGCATTCAAACAAAGAACCAGGCAAATGAAGCAAGGTATGATATGATAGTTTGATAATCGACGAGTATGAGCCTATTTCGAGTGTAGTATGTCTCAGACATAGCCCCGGTCTTAGTAGGAAGCGGAAGTGCTAACCTCTAACTAGTAATCCCTGTCAAAACGCAATAATAAACTTCAGTTCTCTCTGTATGAAGAGTGTTTATGTATGCACACACATACATACAAACTCTGAGGTTGACCTATGATGCGTTTGTTTACATGGATCTATATTTAAGCTGCAATACGTGCCCTCGGTTGATCACATCATGGTACTCGAGGAAGGGGCTGTTGCGGAACAGGGAGCATTCGAGGTAAAAATTACCGCATGTTTTTAAAATTCTGGAATCAATCCTAACCCTTTAGGCAGATTTAAACTAGAAACAGACGAAAACCTTCAGCAATAATGCTCCGGTGGGATCATAATATCAGCTATCGACAAACTACCACACCTTTCTACTCCGTACGACAAGGATTATATCCTGATTGCAGCACAGTTTGAGCAAGAGCCTAGAAAGACAAATATGTGATCCACTAATTTTGTCATTTAAGCTGGATTATTTGTCACCATGCATCGTAAAATGCTTTTTGCTACATATGTATTATAAAAGTAAAGATATTTTACTTTGGAATGTCCAAGCAGGACCTTGTTTTGCAAGATGGTGAATTTTCAAGATTGATGAAGGAAAGTGGCATACAAAAAGGAGAGGAAGAAACTGAAGAAGAGACAAGTGATACAATGTCGCCTTTATGTTGGGGAGGTGGTGAACGAAAGGTTCTGTTTCTCAGAAGCCTCATTGTTATTTATCTTCATTTCAAAACTGAATTTTCGAATCATGGTTATCTTCACAAAGCACATAAAAGGTTCTCTTGGAAATTCTCTTGATTGAGGTGGATAACCTTGAAACTTCATATTAGCGCATTTTCGGTATACTGAAATTTAAAACAGCCAAACTCATGCCCATCTTCATCCAGACACTGAGGAGGACCAAGTATCGTGCTAGAGCAAGTACCTATTCTGGTAAGGTACGTAAGAAATGGCGTGTGCTGATTTCAGGGCAGATTCAGTTTGAAAAATGAAGCCTAAGTGAAAATCTGTGAAGGTTAAGTGCTCCTGTTCTGAGCAGTGTAAGGCATTGAAGAGTAAGAGTCAATAAATTACGTGACCGATTGAACCTTGATTTCTGATCTGATTGTGATCCCAAGCATTTCTTATGACCAAAAGGACTTGCATGTAATTCAGTATCCTAAATAGAACCAAATTAACTCAGTCATTGGCATCCATATGCATTTATTAACAGGGACTACTTGTTCAAGACGAGCATCGTATTCGGGGCACTCTACAACTGAGCGTGAGCTTCTGAGCAAACTCTTGTCTAGAAACTGAAGTCAAACGAAAGTCAATAGACAAGAATAATTAGATACAACCCCAACTTGTAAGAAATTTTTGTATGAGCTTTTCGTTTATTCAGCTTTGTATGACGAGTCAAATTCATATACTAATTGCAGGTCTTCAAGAACTACTGGACAGAAGCGAGCTGGATTATGCCCCTCTTCGTTCTTGCTCTTTACTGTGCAGTCCAGTGCGTGGATGCATTCAACCGTTATTGGTTGGCGTATTGGACAAACAACCACTTTCGCCAGTCCACAGCTTTCTATCTAGGTATATCAAGAAAAAATCGACTGTCATAACATTCTACCTTAGTTCTTTTAATTCCTATATAATGGTCGTATGCACAAATTCTAATTTAAGCACTCTTCTTGCATGGTACGATCTGTACTCCCTATCGTCTGCCTATCATAAACCTAAGACCACAAACCCCTCGAAGTACTAATCTGCACAGTAAAAGCTGACTTGCTTTTTATAAACGTTATGCAATAAGAGTCTACAACTGGTTTGTGACAGGGATCTACGCAGCTCTAGGAGTATTCTTCGCAGGTTTGCTGTACTCTCGAATGCTAAGTCAGCTGATGTTGGGATTGTGGACTGCCAAGAAATTGCATGAGAGCGTACTTGATTCTATAATGCATGCACCGATGTCATTCTTCGACACCACACCTGTTGGTCGCATTTTGAATCGCTTCAGGTTGGATGAATGTCCTTAGAACAGATTTCCATGATATTCTTTGCCTTTGATTGATACATGGATAGCACAATATATTCAATGAGAATTATTTGAGCAGGAAAACAGACTCTGCTACTTCCACTTGCTGGAAACTGTATTGACGAGTAGGACGAAAGCACATCTCCGCATGGAATTACGGTTCTCCAAATAAGACATACAGCTATCTCCTTATGGCTAGCACACTTTCATCAAGAGTCATAACCAGAATAAAAATGTTTCATGAAACTCCAAGGACGTGAATACGAATTCTTGGTCGCTATATTGGATAATGGTATGCTGAACTGAGTAATTAACACAACAGATAGATATAACAATGACTTTCGTCTGCAGTGCTGACCAGCAAACGGTTGATGAAACTCTCCCGTTTTCTTGGGTGTCGTTTCTCAACATACTTTTCCAGGTACGCAACCATGCCCCTGTATTTGTAGCAAACTATGCCCTTCTTAGCCCTTATGATATGAAGAATTTGATCTTCCAACTCAGCATCATATCGTAAATTGTATGGAGGTCTACCTCTCTTATGATGGCTTCAAGTCTTTAGTGATGGGATTTTCGTGATGTGAAACAGGCTTTCAGCACAATCATAGTCATTTCTCTGAACACACCAATATTTATCTTGATCTTTCTTCCAACGGGTGTACTATACACTTTCATCCAGCAGGTGTGATTTTTCCTGGGACATTTATTTTCAGTTTTACTCTCAAGCTTGGTACTTTGTTCACTTGAAAAACATGAAGCTATTTGAGAGATTACGCGTGTACAAATTACTAGAATACCTATTCAACTTCCAAGAAAACTGTTTACAGGTATATAGAAGAACAGCCCGTGAGCTGAAGCGATTAGGTAGTTTGTCAATAAGTCCGGTATACCAGCAGTTCACGGAAACTCTTAATGGACTTGCTACTATTCGTGCGTATCAGCAAGAAGATCGTTTCATGGAAATGTGTGCAGGTTGATTTCTTGCCTTGGTCCCAGGACAGTCAGTATATTCACTTTCTCTTCAAAAAGATCTGAAGCTGTAACTTGATAGATTTCTAGACGGCAGATATAATTGCAATATGTTAACAATCATATGTGTACAGATTTAGAGATGCAGAACTGCTTTCACTTCAATCATCTATCGTGTCATTTTATACAATTATTTGATATGACTCTTTGTAGCACACAACTTCCGTTATCTGAATTTCAAACCAGAGGTTCAATTTTTCCAGGCAAGTTGAATGTCACAAATAGGGCGTATATGTTGCTTCAAAGCTGCAATCGTTGGTTGAGCGTCCGACTTGAGTTTATGGGCAACCTGATGGTTTTTGCTGCTGCGCTGCTTGCAGTATGGATGTCTTAAAGCTCTCTTGCCTCCCTTCAGAAATATAATTTGAACCTGACTAAGAAAACTATGTATTAAACAATGCACATTGTTCCTCCGTTCAACGCCCCTGCTATTTGTAGGTGCTAGCGAACGTTTTTCGACAATATGTTCTTATCTTCGTTGCTTCACCATACACTAAGAAATTTTGCCCTATATTTTAATGCAGATAGAAAGTAGGGAATAAATTAGTACAAGGGAACTCTTGCCAATTCCCATGGCCTTAAGTGCACCGTCGGTTTTGCTAGGTGAGCAAGAAAGGAACTCTATACGCAGGATATGCAGGCATCAGCATTGACTATGCCATGCAGATAACAGCTTCTTTGAACATGCTGGTTGATCAACTATCCTTGCCTCTTTCTGTCACTTAAACTGCATTTGTTTCACGTTGCTTGTATACCGTCCTGAAATATTAACTAACTTTGCAGCATATTTATGCTGAGCCTAGTAAAGAAACGTTCACAACCTCGATCTAGTTTGAAGATCCATTGTGTGGCTTTTTAGGTACGAACGATGACAGATACAGAAAACCAAATGAATGCGGTGGAACGTATGTTGGAGTATCGTCACCGCATTGAACATGAGGTCCTGTCAACTCGAAATACCCAAACTCAGATCTCTTTTATCGCTCGCATCGACACATGCAAGAGCTACTTCTTTTCTTTTTTGGACTTATCATTTTATAAGTTTCTTAAAATTGTAATCTAAATTCACACAGGTAGCACTACCCAGCGGTCAAAGGCAAGCCGGTGACATAGAAACTCATAAGCAGTTTAGACCTGACCTTGTAAGCAGGTTCCCTGTGGGTTCATTTAAAATCAGCGTGTTCACCTCGGAATGGAATCGTTTGGTTTAAACCTGTCAATGACATTATGATGCAAAGCTTGCAGGGACCAATAACGCCCAGTCAAATAACACCCCCACAAGACTGGCCGACTGAAGGGGCCATCGAGTTTGAGACCCTTGAGATGCGATATCGCCCAGGACTTCCTCTCGTACTGAAGGGGGTAATCATCTTCACATTGGTCCGTTATCGTTTTTGAGATCCCACTTACATTCTCAACTGACAGCCTTCTAGTGAAGATACAACCCGGACCGAAGAGTCAGTCCTTTCAGCCGAAAGTTGGAAGGGTGAGATCAGAGATTCTCTTTGGGATAGACAGGCACAAGTGAAAGGTGTTATCCTGACTTACTTTCACTTCCTGAATATTCCCTTGCAGGTGTCTATGAGTATAAATGGAGGGGAGGTAGTTGGAGTTGTAGGGCGTACAGGATCAGGAAAGAGCAGTTTGATGTTGTGTTTATTTCGACTGGTAGAGCCTGCAAGTGGTAGGATTAAAATAGATGGCATCGACATAGGAAATATCACACTGAAGAACCTGCGATCTCGGCTTTCGATTATTCCCCAAGAGCCCATACTTTTCAGTGGCACCGTCAGAACCAACATAGATCCTTTCAGTGCCCATTCGGATGATGAGATATGGAAGGTTTTGGAGCGAAGTCACCTGAAAGACAAGGTGGGCCTCAGTCCGAACACTTCACCCAAGAGGGTTTGTGCGCCTAATGAACTTCAACAATATATTATAATCGTCCAGGTGATGTCAAAATCCAATTTATTTAGTATTAATGCTCTTGAAGCGCAGTGCACTCGTTCTCATCTTTTACATACTGTAGGTGACGGAGCTCCCAGGTAAACTGGATGCTGACGTAGCAGAGTATGGAGAGAACTTCTCAGTTGGAGAGCGGCAGTTACTCTGCTTGGTAACTTGATTTCCCAACCTGTGCTAACGAAACGAGTCGCAAATAGATATCAAGCTTATGATCACTCTGAGAGGTTCATTTCGTGCCCAAACTGACTATAAGAAATCATCATAACAAGTACTACGGTTACTTCTTTTCTGATGATCTGATCACAACAATCTACATGTGGGTCAGGCGAGGGTGCTGTTGCGGAGCTGCAAAATTCTCATCATGGATGAAGCTACCAGCAGTGTTGACTTTGAAACAGATAAACTCATCCAGGTGCACTATTATCAAGGTTCCTTTGGGTATTGGACAGTATACATTTAACGAACTAGGAGTGAAGCAGTGCCAGACTTTTCATTGATATGTCAAACGAAAGCTCTGAGATAACGTAAAACTTCAGGACAACAGTTTTGATACGTTACCCAGACATAACTACGGTTTGTGTGCGAATATTGTATGTTTAGTGAGTTGTCCAGATAGGATTGTGTCCACTTCCTTGAGGTCAAACCCACGTCTGCACGCTGGTGAACTGAATATTAACATAATATGTCCACGTGGAACCCGGATGCAGGGCACCATCCGCACACATTTGCGGGGCACGACCATGCTCATCATTGCCCACCGCATCAATACTGTCATAGACGCATCTCGAGTTCTTGTTCTCTCTCAAGGAAAGGTAAATCTCATGAGCATGAATGTACCGCTGAAGACGCACAACAAGTTGAACTAGCCACGAAGGTCAAGTCTGAAACATCATATTGGCATAACGCAGGTGGTGGAGTATGATACACCCGCTGCCCTCCTCGATCGACCACAGGGAATATTTTCTACTCTCGTACAGGTTAACCACTTCACTTTCTCCTCAGCTACGTGTTTCTTCAGTCATTTCAAGGATTACCAGGAAGCAAAGTATCACAGCACCTGACAGTGAGCCCCACCTCTATACTCTTACAGGATACAGGAGAGTCAACAGCTGGACATCTGATTAAGTTAGCCTCTTCTAGGCGATCTTTCTTCTCACAGGAAGAAAGTCCTTAATAAGTCGGGTTGCCATAATAGTGCCGGCGCAGTACAAAAACAAGAGTTGGTAGGTATTGAACGTAGCGTGTAGCAGTTAAGATCTCTTCTCCATGCCCATTTGAGACATCACTGTCATTTCCAGGCATCAGCTCCCACGTAGAAGGATAGATGACAAAATAAATTTTGACACGGTTTTCACAATGTAAAAGCATTTCATCACAGAAACGCTGCTTACAAGCTTTCCACTCAGGTGTTACTAGAGTACACTTTAAGCCTTTCTTCTTACAACCTTCCCATATTCTACCCGGCGTGAAGTCAACTGCTAAATGGTGGCTGTGTAAACTGATTCTCATCTTCTAAAACTGGACTAAGACGTTTGAAAGTAGAACTAATGTCAAAATTTTTGGGTACGCTATCGGTTTGGAAAAACAAAGTTCTTGGTCGGAACTTCGTATTCCTATTGACTAAAGATTATGAAGAACAATCTGCCTCCCACGACCAACGAAAAGCGATCAACCGATCATCACTCGTTTACGACCCCTCATGCGCACTGCAGAATAAACGTCAGATAATATCAGTTGGCCAAGACGTAAAACTAGCTTTGACAGCCCGTAACTTCTGCAGAACGACCGCTATGATAGATAAAGTGCACCCTCAGGACTTTATGCGACTGAGAGACACTGCAAATACATGTGATCAAGAGATGTTGATCGGGACTGGACTAGTAAACTGAGTAACAGAGCAACAGAGCAACATAGGTGCAAAACTTGCTTTAGACTCTGATTACATTAGATCAGGATGTATGAACAAACCTGCAGCCAATTTGTTCAAGGTCGAACTCCACAGCTTCGAAGATTGCTTGTAGGAAGACATCACCAGACCCATCTGTTTTCACACGGTAACAAAGCATCCGATAATCAGAAGTTGACAAAGCCAGATGGAATTGCATGGACACTCACAAAGTCTTTCCAGAGTTCCAAGATGATCGAGGCCTATTCTTACAATGTCACCATTCGAAGAGTGGAGAGAGATCAGCGCCCGCTCCAAAACATAGAGATCCACTGCTTTATCTTCAGGGAGTGCAGACGTGAAACTCAGCCCGAAGTCGATCATTACCTGGATCAAAACACATCAACAGCGTCTCAAGTCACCATCGCATGCTTCCGGATGGTATGAGCATCCCACCCCTTCCTTGTTCAGAGGAAGTGGTGGGATGCTTCTAATTTTGAAATGTGAAGCTGTATTATGTACACAATAATAAGGCAGCATGGACATGTAAAAGACATAGAATAGAACAGCCCTGTTGTTGGGGACTAAGATTACCAATTGATTGGTATCAGGGCGTATGAGCATGTTGGAGGTCGTGAGATCCCCATGGACAACACCACCGTCATGCAGCTTTGCAACAGCTTTGCCAATTTGTTTAGCTATCTCTTCTATTTTGCCTCCTGATCACCCACGACTGACCTCATCAGAAACTAGTCGCATGCAGGAAAACAGACCACACCCTTCCTCTGAAGCCACAAGAGATTGGACTGAAGCAGTAACGAGGGGTTAGGGTTTATGTCGATGTCCACAAGGTTTTTCCTTACCATGAAACTCATTTCTGACATCTCATTTTCAGTGCAATCCTAAACTCTACGGACAGAGCCGACTGTCCTCGGTGTCCTCGATAATCCATTGCTGTGGGCTATAACATATGCATCGAATACACTAACAGCAACAGTTTTCCTCTTAAGGTGAACACTCCCAATTGTTTTTGGCTCCCTATTTCATCCCTCTAGCTCAAAAAATATAAATGGAGGTGGGTAAAATCACGCGCAACTGCATTGAAGACTACACGATGTCAAACAGGACCAGATGGAATCGCCATACCTGGACTGGGAAGAGGACCCGACTGGAGTAAGAGATCCTTGACACTTGCTCCCGGTACATACTCAAAGGTGAGAGATGCTGTCACAGGATCAACAGCGTACAGAGCTGGTGTGACAACTCCAAGCCTTCGAGCCTTGGCCAAAAGACGAGCTTCCTGATAATTGTCCAGGTGAGTGAAAGGTGCTCTACTTCTGCTGCAGGTGTCCAGAAAAACTTCAAATTGAGCAAAGACGGAAGCAAATTTAATAAAGCAAATTTCCGTCTGACCAGGAAAAGCGTTACCCACAAACTTTGCATGCGTAGTCAATTTTAGAGAGTATCTTCTTCGGCAAATTTGAGAATCATGAGCGCTAGAATTACCCCGAGAAGTCTCTTCGAGGTGAGTTTCGCATCCAGAACTGGATGCCTGTACTTCTTCGAAAATCTCTCCTTCACGACCGCCTTGCGGCCCATAAACGAGCTTTCGAAAACACGCTGCCATCAAATCGAGCACTTTCAGCACTCTAAACATTAATTCAGAAACCTTCCATCTTAGACAAGTAACCCCAAAAAAATCCCCAATCCAAAATCCGACGCAACTTTTTAGCTGAAGTGCACGCGAAAACATGAAAAAATTAAAAATTAAAAAAACAAGCCAAAAAAAATCCAAACAGAGAAAAAACGAGACTTCGACGACAATGGGTTCAGAGCACCGACAGACATACAAATCAAGGAAATTCACAGGCCACAGACTCGAAAAGCGTCGGCAAACGGCGTGAAATGATGTGATAGGAGGGAGGCGAGGGAGAGGAATGTACAGCTTCCGCCCCTTGCTTCAAAAGCTTGGACGTCGGCGCCTGGTCGCCGTCGAGCTGCATGAGATCCAGGGCCGCCATCTTCGTCGTCGATTCGTCGTCGAGTCCTCGTCGTCGTGTTCGCTCGGCGAAATTTGAAATTGCAAACAGCGCATGCACTCGACCCTCTGAAACCTCGTACCGTCAAACGCCGACCGTCTGCAAGTGGACTGCGCTGACTGGAGCCGTCAGCTGAACCTTCGGACTTCACATTCCTCTTCGAGCATATGCCGAAATCCAGAGATTCCAACGAAACATTTCCTCGATAAATCTCTTGTCTCACAAATCTCTCCTTTTTGAGAGCATCATAAGATAGATAATCATAACCCCGTCATCAAAAATATGTCCTTTGCATACCCTCTCCATAAAATATAATCAATTTTCATTACTATCATTACAACGCTTACAGATTGAATTTCATGACAACAAAAACTGCTGTCAAAGAAGTCATAGTACAAAAATAATGGCAAACCCATCACAAGAAATCACAAAATGTGTAAGATACCACACATGAGCAATTGCGGAATATATTGTGATATGTCTTACTTCAACTCAAATTTCAAGATCTACTACTTACAAGTACATAAAGCATTTAAGAAGCATTGCGTTCTAAAGTTACTTGGAAATTTGTTGTATACAATATTCTATACAATAAGATGAAAAAAGTGACTAGCATGACAAGATATGCTCGTTTACATAATATTTTGAGATTATATAATATTTTGAGATTATATGATGTAGGTGAAGTCATCCATATAATGAGTATAATTACACTTTTCTAAAATAATGTATGAATGATATGCACCTTGATACATTTTAATAATCACCACATCTACATCTATCCAAGACAAAATCTTTGGTAGTGAAATACATGGATATTTGCTGGTTGATATAACCTAAAGCATGTAATCATCTTTAGATTTAGATAATTGGTACTGAAGTATACTTTCATAAAAATAGGGAAAAAGAAATTCATTTGATGTATAATGGTTTATATATATATCGTTGTGCTTGTCATATGATAATCTGAGTATGTTAGTTCAAAATAATACATTTTTAACAAAGATGAATGTTGAATAAATTAAAGATCAGTCATTGCTACATTGGATTTCTGTCAAACATTTTTAATGGATTTTCATGTATGCAAAATCGCAATATAATTTTTTTCACAGTCTTTACATGTAGAGAAATGATTTTTGCTAGTTTCTAAACAGTCTCAATTATTACACTCTATCATTGCTTTTATATATGAAGTATAATCTACTTTAGAAAGATTAAGATAGTTATGATATCATTGTAACACTAGGTTAGGATGTAAGAATTATAATCATTAAGAGAGAAATTATAAACTCTAAAAAATGACAGTTAACTAGAATGATTCTACTATTCTTTCTATATTTCTTTCAAATACATATAACAAAATAAAAAATATATTTCACCGTCCAATGCATTCATAATATATTGATGATAAAGTGGATATAACTAATGAAAACACAAATTATTAATTTGCCTTTGTCACCTAACACACCACCTAGCACACTTTATTCTTAACTAACAATCACATATATTGGTCACATGTCGCTTGCAACTAACATATTTACTCTTTACATATTAGGCACAAGGATTGCTAACATGACAAATATAGATATTTCACTATAGTGTAATCATGATATTATCTTAAATAAACTATATTTTGGTTCTAACCAATGAAAAATGATTAAACTCAATCACTATGCTTGAGTGAAAAGTATAATGAAAATTTTTTACTCCATCTCCATAACCGATATGAATAGAAAATTTCTAAACCCTTAAATTCTCTCTCTCCATCTCTCTCCTACAAATGAACAAGGTGTTTCAAAATAGGCTTAGACCAACACCTTATTGTATACTAAAAACCCTAATTATGCTAAGTAGAAATCCTAACTCCAGCAATTTATACAAACTTATGATAATTAACTTAAGGCGTGAGTTAAATCCTGACCACATCTACAAGATAAATCTTGCTCGTGATTTTTCAATCATTTGAAATTGATATGCGTAATTAAATACACTTTTAGATGATACCAATTAAAAAATTAATATTAAACATCAAAAAATTTAGTTTTGACTCACCAACCATAATGTTATTGATTGTTGAGTGAATTCAATTTGATGGGAAAAAAATTGACAAAGAAGATTGATCAACATTAATGATGCAAATAAATTGTAATATGAAGCAATGAACTTACGTGTTTAATTGAGTATTTCCTACAATGATAAGAAAAAAACCATCATCACACTTTTATTTTAATTACTAAGAGACTTCAAGTCACAATGAAACTTTTCTTTTTCCAATTCCCCTTATATCTATATCATTGATACGATTCAAAGATTAATTTCACCATTATTCATTTTCTAATGATATGTGAAGGGAACACATTATAGAGGAAGTGTAGATCATATCTTCAAGATGTATACTTATTGACTAACTTAGAAAATGAAAGAGGAATTCAATAACCTTGAAAATTCCAAATGATGGCGGGTTTAGGGTCTGTTGATTGGAGCTAGTAGTGAACTTCATCAAAAATTACCAAATTCATATAAATTATTTGTTTGTGGGTATCACATTTTAGCTAATGTGAAATTGCATCTAAAACCATTAGAAAATTATGTATTTGTGAGTTAACTGTTCCGAGCATTTCTGTTCAAACAGTAAAATGGATTTTCCATTTTATAATAAGAATGAACATTACACTCAATTCAAATTGAATTACTTCGTGGTGGATGAGCTCACGCGACTTTGGCACCAGAAACAAAGTATCTGAAATATCATTAACACTAACTTCGACTAATTTATGTATATATATACTAAGCATTCATATATACCTTAGCAATAAATTACCTGATCAGAATGGATGAAACCTGAGGCAATCTCATGGAGAAATAAATGACACTTTTAGTTTTGTTACATTTTTTTCTAATACAATGACTTGCATCATCGAATATTTGAAATATCTCTTCGTAAAAAACACAAGATTATGACAAATTTCTCGTTTCTCATGTAGAACTAGAGGTCTGAATATCCTTATGATTCAGTTTAATTTAATCTTACTCCAGTCGAGAATGATTCCTTGCTTTATGTCGTTATCCAACCCCACGATTGAGTTTGTGAAAAAATTTACTCAAAATGTAGTGGGGTTTACACTATAGACCGTGGTGAATCAGATAGAAGGTCACATTATCTTCATTGTGAGAAGTTCATTCATAGTTACAGTCATGCCACTTGCTGGAAATTTAACATAGGCCATAATTGCCTTCAGTAGTGCACCAATCCATCCCCGCATCTTACAAATTATGAGAAAGTATACCTATGCTATTGATTACCCTGAGCATGATACATTATAGCTAAGCCCCAAAGGCTTGGGACGATTGGCGATTGGGAAGTTCCCACCCTGGAGCAGGAGGCACACAGAGGAGAAAGGGAGGTCACCGATTTGGACATCGTTCAGTGTGATGTGGAAGGGAGGATGCTGACGGGGCAAAACACCAGCCCAATGACATGGCTGGGAACCGGCAGCCACCGGTGATCGGGTTCAGATGAGCTTCCCAGATGTGCGCCTGCTCGTCCCCAGAACCTCTGCCTCGACGTCCGTGCTCAAAATGTCGAAAGCTGAATGCTGTCGATCAGGGAATCGGCATCCCCGCGCGGAGCTCGAATCGGGAAGCAAGTGATGGTGGTCGTGATATCTCGGGGCAGGGCGGGACCGCCATGTCAGAAGCGTTAGAACTCTCCCACCGCAGAACGCCTTGCGGTGATTCCATCGTCTGAGTATAATGTTGCCCACGCCCATCGACCAACAGACAATCTGCTCAATCTGCTCTTCGCATGCGACGACGGGCAGCGTGTGTGTGTCCACTAGACTCGGTAACGGAGCATGAATTAATGCGCCTTTCGGAGGTCGAGGCGGAAATCAGACGCTGAGTGATTGTCGTGTGATTGATTGTCTGCCGGAACTCAATGCTCTTTGTGGCATGACACGCTCTTGCGTGAACATCGGGCGTGGGAATCGATGGAGTGCCGCATTGAGAATTATTCTCATGCAGTACACGAATCTAATACGAAGGCTTAGACCGCCGAGACCCTTCGGGGCATTCATGAGAGAGACAATATCAAGTCGCAGACGACAAATGCTCTCTGATTCGGGTCCGCTGGGCCCCTGTGCACATTCGTGAGGAGGCCTAAAAGGCAAAAGCTCCTTTCCAGAGCCCGTGTAGGATGTACAGTGTTCACCAAGCGAGTCCACGTACATAAAGGTAACGATCCCGATTCGAAGGGCTACAGAAAAAGGTCACATTATTTAATTACTGGAAAAATTGGGGGTCGTCATTACTCACCCCATTCTCTGTCTGCCAGAATTTGGGGTCTCGTCCTCGATGGTAACAGTGTTCAGATAGGGCAGTTTTCAGATTGTGGGTTCTGGATGCTGAGTGCGACAACGAATTCTGATTTCGATCTGAAAGCTCTTGTGGATAGTGGGCTGCTCGTCCGGTTTTCCTGGTGATGTTCACCTGATTGAGGACCTCGAGATCCAGACCATATGCTTTCGACAGATCAAATCATGAATCCCACCGTTTTGAACTCTTCGTTTCATCAGTGATCTGGAGACCTTTTCCCTCTATTTATACGCTCTGAGTGTATCACTCTTCTAACTCACTGTGCAAATGAATTCGTAGGATCTGAAGATGCTTCTCCTCCTTCTGGGCAAGTTGTCATTGCCAGTTTAAGATAGGCCAGGTGCTCAGGTTCTCCCTCGATCTGAGGACGCTCACACTCAACGAAGAGCGTGCTCTCCGTATGTCAGATCTTGCCACTCCCGCGGCCCTCATCATCATACAGAAAGTAAAGCGGTTCACATCATGTCGTATACGTAGCACCAAGGGTCCTCGGTTTCGATCCAGCTCCAGCAGTCCTTGGTGCTCTCGCAGCAAAGGAGCTGCGCAAGTTGACCATGAATTGCTGCTGTGGACACTCATGACCTCATTCCTGCAGTCATGTGTCGTTCACAGCATCTGAAGCATTATCTTAAAACGATAGATCCATAACCCAGTGGACTGGCGGGGAGAAATCACACGCGCAAGATGGCACATTTAAACCTTTGCTATCTTTTGTGCATACACTTTCGTATGTGGTTCGAACATAGTATCTCATGGTGATTCTTCATGATCAACAACCACTTGCGTATCGTACGTGGTATCTGAGAGCACTTTGTATTTCATGTATAGGGATGACGCCTGATCACGGTGGTCGCGAGCCATACCCAACGACTTTTTAGCTCCTCTGGCTAACCTTGTACGATGGTATGATTGTACACTAACTTCTCGAACCCTGTGCCACGGCATGGTTGACAAGATGCGCAGCAGCCATTTTGTTCAATTCAGTTGTATCTCTAAGACAGACACGCAAATGGCGTTGGGGCTCTCTCTCTCTCGAGCATTAGAGGGTCGAGGCTGATTAGATTGAGTCTAGCCATCCTTTGAGTTATTTTTCTCCGTACCGGAATGAGTCATTTTAAAAGAAGGGCCACGGTGATTTTGCCACCTTTTAGTGTTTGAATGCCTACTAGGAATGTAAATCTTATGTTTGGAGGGTCGAAGAGGCGAGTGAGTGCGAAGGCTTTCCAGTTATCATGGCCTCTTGTGAAGGTTGAACCATGAATATCTCGGCTGGGAGAGAGAAGTTCAGCTAGATACTGCTTTGGCACGCTGCAGGCTCACACAGCTCATTTGATTACTTAGAAACCTGACATGTTGTGCCAACGACATCCATTGTCTTTTGCAGGGTATCGAGGGGACGGATATTCTTGAAGCCCAAGTTGCCAAGTGCAACTGCCCCTTGGGTAATGACACCCATTCGCTGGCATCGAATGGAACTCCCAAGCCTTCGATTGACTGGCTACACTACTGCACAAATAGCTCCTTCAAACCAGAAGATTACGTGCAGGACGCACAAGTAATACGGCTGCACCTGGCAGCTAGAGATAACAACACCTCATCTATTAAGAAAATTCTTGCCAAGGGGGTGAGTGTCAGTGTACCAGACGAGGTAGGACGCTCAGCTCTGCATTGGGCGGCCGTGTTTTGTAAGCTGGAAACTGTAGAGGCGATTATTAAGCGTTTTCCAGCGTCGCTGTTGGATAAGGGTGATAGAAGTGGGTGCACTCCGCTTCATTATGCCGTTCTGGCAGGCAGAGCTGACGTTGCAGGCATGCTCTTGAAGGCAGGTTGCAATGTGCATGCCATAGACAACCAGGGCAGGACTCCATTGCACTACGCCGCTCAGAATTCGAATTTAGCCGTGGTGGCCGTTCTTCTGAGACGTGGAGCAAATCCAACTCTGGTTGATAAGCTGAAGCGCTTGCCATACGATGTGGCTGTAGAGTATAACAATATAAAGAAAATCCTCGAATGTCTTCGATTAGAACCCTTGAATGCTATGGTTGCCTCAGACAAAATGAAGCCAGTAGAGCATCGGCAAAAGCAACCGATGCTTTGGAAAGCAAAGGTGAACGAAAGTCATGGAAAAGTGCCACTGGCGTTTATCTCTGATGATTACCTGCAAGCTGAGAAGAACTGGCAAGCAGAAGTCAGTGGAACCGATGAGGAGCAAGACATTGTCGACCGGCCTGTGGAGATCGTCAAGGAACAGATGGAAAGGGATGCAGACAAGATGAAACACAAGCTGCGCAAGATTGAGCAGACAAAAAAGGGCTCTTCAGAAGAACAGATCAGAGTGCAGCAGAAAGCATTGAAAATGCTTCTGGACCGGGCTAAGAAAACTGCCATGGAACAACGAAGGCAAAAGTGGGCTGAAGAGGAGCGAGTGAGGCGGATTGCTCAGTCTCGGACAAGGACCATGACCCCTTTCACAATTTCCAACTCTCGATCATCATTAGGGATGAGAACTCCGACAGGATTCTCTGTCAGACACTTTCAGACGTCGCGTAGGCCATCCGGTGCGAGCTCTTCACCGTGCCGGACAGAGGAGATTGAACCAGATTCCGAAGGCAGTGAGCGACCAGGCATCTGGGATGCAAGCTACCTGGCGCTGGGGAATTATTTCCAAGCACTTCCTTCTCCCGAGCTGCGGACTGGCATCGAGACCGAAATGTATACAACCGAGATGCAAGCTCCAGAACGTGCTCCTCAGCAAACAGCAACAGCTATCAGGGATTCTCCAACAGATGCCAATGTTCAGCAAGAGCAAGAGCAAGAGCAAGAGCAAGATCAAAATCAAATCCTGCGGGACCAGCCACAGACAGAAGACGAGAATGCAAATGCGTCGTGTCCTTACCTTCAGCAGTGGATTGCCAATGCTTTTTCTTATCCAGCTGTTCCCCCGGTTATGTGCCAAGCATTGAATCCAGATGCACCTCCTTATACTGGAGATTTGCACGCGGAACAAAGTGGTCGAGGACCAACCTTCGTACCTCCAGAGCAGAGAAATTTCATGGTCTACTCTGTCCCGAAGACATATACAGAGGAGAATAATGTACCTTCTGTTGTTCCGAATTCGAATGCAGGTCAAGCAAGTCTACGTGGACCTCCACCGGATTACCAACAACTTTTCTTCCAGCATGATAGATCGCGTGCATCAGGTGAATGGAAGGTCAACGAAATCCTCAATGGCCCCATCATGGATACTGAAGCCGGTGCTTCTCCAGAAGAAAGCCCTTCTAATCCATCGGCTCCATACGATGGAGAAAATCAGACCGAGATCCGACCAAGCTATGAGGATGAGCCACCTCTCACGGAATACAGAGATGGAGAAGTCGAGAGTCCGGACAGATCAACAATTGCAAGAGCACACAATGAGAGAGATAGGTCAAATCAGAATCAGGAACCAAATGGTAATTCGTCTCTCGAGGTTAGAGGTACAGAAGGGAATGAGTATACGGATGAAGATGAAGATCCATTCACTCGTCTAGGTTTCCTCCACTCGCACAAGGTACCGAAAGGTTCCTTCTGTGGACCTCCTAACAGACACGGAATCGACTGCTACACACGTCCCAAAGCCCGCAGCCAGGCGGGCAGAGTCCGTGTAGTGGCTGACTACAGGTGGGCACACACTCAGGCGCAACCCAAGAACTCGTGGTCTCCAGACGAGCCATGGAGACCCGGAGGGATTTCGAAAACGCTGGAACACTGCAAAACATATGGTTCTCTGAGGACCCAATGTAAACGCAACTCAATCCACTCGATCCGTGCTCTGATTCGCAGGATGCAAACGAAACCTCTCGACGATGCGGAGATCGATGCCGATCCCTTTGAGAGAAAGGGAGCGAAATGGGACGATGAGACTGACGCTGTTTCTATGGTAGAACCTCAAGACGAGGCACTCTGGTCACTGCGAGAAAGGTCTCGGAGATGTTCCGATTCTTCCGATGTCAACAACTCCGCCCACCCTCAACAACCCCGTTTAGTTCCCAAGCGACAGGCCATGAAATATAGTCAGTCTCACAGAGCGAATAATGTCACATCTCGGTACCTCCCGGAGACATGTCCACATCGGAAGCTTGCAGAAAATGATCTAAAAGCTCCAGAATATGTGGACCTCACAGGCAGAACTTATCAGGAGCCATTAGCAATTGCAGACCAACTGCAACCGACATCCGATGAGTTTCTGCCGCCTTGTACTGCTAACACTTTCGACCAGTGTAACATACATCCCCTCTCCCAATCCCAATCCAACCCCACCTATCCTGAAAGCTCATCATGGCAGCAATCGGACACGAGCCTAAGTTATCGGCCACATCGCTACCCGGAAAACTCTGCCGAATCACAAGCAGAATTCTCTCCCCATTTACGATCAAATCAGCAAGCAGAAGGCTTTTCTGACTCCTCTACGTCCTTCCAGCTGCCTCGGGCCGCTGCTTCCTTCCCTAAACATTCCGGTGCGCAGTTGCATACAATGACTCCATCGTACCAGACTCAATTTCCTCATTCTGGGACAATCTCTTCACGACCAGCTTCGTGGGATCCCTCAAGCCCAGAGATGCTGGCGACTTGGCTCGATCAGAAGCCTGAGGACATACTACTAGAGGAATCTCAGCAGGACGCTAATGTGAGGGATGAGTTCGAGAACAGAGTACCTAGAACTTCTTATACGAGCTCCTTTGAGGAGATTGTGTACCAAGAGGACGAGATAGAGAGGGATCGCCGTAAATTTAGAGCATCGAAACCCAGGTCCCACTCCTCTGTGAAACGAGCAGATTTTCGTTGTTCGCTGGAGAGAATATCACCAGAACGTCTGGCACTTATGGAGTACTATGGTCAGTCCGTAAGACCTCGATTTCTTGGTCTCGGCAGAGAGCAGCCCCCTGTACACCAGTGTCTTGATATCGAGCTCCTGCAAAGACAGTGGCTCTGAGTTGAAGCGACCTCACGACTACGGAATATGGATGCATCCTTTGTATGTCCATCCTGTTGAACAACTTCCATTGCCTTCCGATGTGTACATGTGACACGAACCTCAATCTTTGCCATCGATTCATTCCATCCGAAAACACATATCGGAACTGAATAGCGCTCAAAGAGTTGAACGTTTACCGAAACAGAATGTTGTTCGAGCTTGATTGCTCCGCAAGCTTGACACAGCGACAGAACATAAGCATAAGCATTGTCAAGCGGCAACTTCGTTCTGTGCTCTGAGATTCGATAACAATTCTCTCAAAGCCAATTTGTGACGATAATCTTCTGGCTCACCAATTCCTGAACGTGCTACCCACAAGTTATCACAAGTTCGCCACTGTAGCCTGCACTCTCCAACTGAAAATATGACAGAGCAGTACAGTCGGGGTATCACCTCAATGTGGTAGGTAACTGCTGGAGTTGTCGTATGACAGTACAGTAGTAAATAACCTGACGACAAACCGCACGCAACACGGGCACCAATTTCTGATCGTCAAATAGTGTATTGCATCACTTCATCCTGCGACCTGTTTGACTGAAGATGGAGCTTGGGACTGCGATGATTTGTGCGAGGTAAATTCGTAACCCAGCAGATGACCAATGTGGTGGACCACTGGACTCAGGCTTGGGCGAGATTTTGAACGGTTTGGGATTTGTTAGCGCAGAATTCTACGTGAAGCTCAGTGCGTCGTAATAATTATGAACCGTCCACACCAGTTCACCCCGTCTGCGGATATCTATCTGGCTGGGCCTTTTGTTGACGTACGTGCTCTCATGTTACCAATATCTGCTGGCCGTATCCTCCGTCATAAACCCTTCAACTCCGCATGATGAAACCTTTGGCTACATGTGCTTTCAAATTGGTCCCCCGCCCAGGGCAATAGATTTCTCACTCGATCTAGAATGTAATCCAAGGAGTTGAAACAGAAACATGTCGAACAAAGCACGACTGTTCCAGAACTCAGTTATTGCACAGTACGTACCTACAAGATAAGACGACACAAATATATAAATGTTTTATATGAAAACCTCACAAGGTCAACGGTCTGATTCATCTGATTCAACTGTGAGAAACTTTTCCTTCGCTTTTGCTGTTCTCGATCGTTGTGAGATGGCACTGGTTCCTTGATTCTCACCGAACTGACCTTTCCTTGGTAATCCTCCTGACGATGAGGAACTCTCTTCCATCTCCACTGCCGGAGTCCGTAACTAATCATTAAAAAATCTGTAAAGCATATCCTCAGGGGAATCATCTCCGCATGTGAAGGAGTTCGTAGACATATCCAGAAAAGGACGTGCCGTCTTATCCAAGATGCAAGGAGCACTTCAATTTTCATATCCCTCGCTTTATACGGAGAGTCAGTCAAGGTGGAAATGTATACCGAACGGGGGCAAGGACCGAGTTCGAAGTTGACGTTCGTGTTGGCAGATCACCAAAACCTTCATCAACAACACTAAAACTTGAAGGCAGGGCAGGCAAGTATCGTTCGCAAGCATACTGATGAGGGGGCATGGTTGAGGCACGAATCACCTCTCAGGTAAACCCTTTGGGGATGGAGGCGAGGACTTCCAGGTGTTGTACACAAGATCGAGGAGAGGCCGCAGGGTCCGTAGTATAATCATTACACCGTTCTGCAAATTCTGTGAAAATAACACCATCTCTGAATGAGTGATGGGTGGCACATGTGCATACAGTATCAGCACACAATATTGGACATTTTTCAGTTTTTTCCCTTTCCACGTCGATGTCGAGAAATGGTGAGAGAGTTGAAGAATTCATTGATGAGTGATAATCACGCACTCGTGATCTCAAGCAGTGCTGTGCAGTACATAAAAATATATAGAGATAGATAGATAGATAGATAGATATATAAAAAAAATTCGCTCGTTCATCATGGCACACAATGCTCATTCAGGATTGATCTTACAATCCACTTACATGGCTTTTCGCTACACTCTTCGTTCATCAGACTTCGTTCGCTTATTCTCGTTGCTCCAGGTAAGAGAGGTCATATCATACTCTGGTCCACGTGATCAAATCATGTCTTATCAACTCGCCATGACCACACACCACTCGGTCTCCATGCAAGCTCATGAGCGCAAATCGTGCTTCGGAACGCTCGCAGGTCATCACGATGAAAAAGAGGTAAGGATATGGATCGGACCTGTGGATCCGTTAGACAGTACATCAGAACTTATTCTTTGACAAGCAAAGCACATCGACATGCGTCCGTGGTCAGCGACGAGAAGTTCGCAGCAGGCAACAGTACCAGGTACTCAGGTACTGCCTGGATGGCCTCGCTTTCTGACACCTGACCGCAGAAGGAAACCATGGCATGAACCTGAATGGGGTGGAGTGGAGTGGTCATCACGAGACTCGTTTTGGCACTTTGCATTGGCCCTACATGCGAGAGTATATACCTTCACAATAGTCATGTGATGATAAGTTCTAGGCCCTGACCCCAACATGTCTGTTACTGGATTCGAGGCTTGTGATAGATAGAGAGGAGGTTCAAGTCAGATCGTCCGTCCTTTCAACGACCTTATACGACGAGGAGTTTGGCTCTGCAACTAATGGCCCATAACGGGAGCGAAGTGTGTGATGATGGTGCCCGGTCCCAGGTGAGCCTCGAGAAACTGTATAGAAAAGTCCACTGTTATTCGGGCCACTATTCGGGACGCGGTTACGGTCACCAAGTTATGCGATCGGCGCTGATTCCACAGCTGATTCAAAGGCATCGAGATGTGCACTGCAACCTGTGATTGGTCCGAGCCTGCCGTGGGAAAAGGCCGGATTCGATGGCTTTCCGCCACCATTGCATGGGACTTGTCTTGGTATGCAGACTAAGCTGCCCTTGCGTGGGGCTAACTCCAACTCATTATCTTATTAATATTCTGCTGACACACCGGCCATGCCTTATCCGTATAGAGGCATCAAATTCCGTAATCAACCTGAACAGCTCGTCATAATTCGCGAATATAGACGAGAATTCAAGCTTTGCCACTGCAGCTCTAAATCAACAATGATGTCCGTGGGACACCCCCTTTCCCAGGACGAGAGAAGAGAGGGCAATGCATCACGTGTCCCGACAACCTCGCCTACTCGGCATCGTTCGCAGAGGGCAGGCAATTGCTGTTAAACGCACAATGGAGCTCGGATCCTGTCGCACGAGGACAGCTTTCCAATATCTCCACCTCACCGAAGTGGACTTGCATTTTGCTGAGAGCAATTCGCACTCGCAAATCCATCTGTCGACCAATGCCGCCGTTCAAGCTCGAGAGAAATCATTGCACATGCAGAAATGTCCGGACGATGACTCTGCGCTTCTATTTCGAGCGACGGGCCTGTGCCATTGCGCCGCTCATGTGCACAGGAACAGCCTCGCAACGGCCACCCTCCGGTCGTGCTGACCGGCCGTTGTCATCTCCTCAGACCTCGAACGAGCCCCCGCGGCCGGCACCACCGGGACAGACGGTCTCCCCGAATTTTCCTACCAAACCCTCTTCTCTCTCTCTCTCTCTCTGACGTTATGAATTCGCTCGTGCGCTTAGGAAGACCAAAGCAATTTCTAGCCACTCACATCTTGACACGTGCGAAATCGCCCGGATGCGGGAGGACCTCTGGTATCTTCCCAAAATCCTACGTGGCTGGGAGGCTTTTGACCTCTGGATGTGGGGCAGGGTCCCATCTTATCTTGACACGTACTGCTAAGTTTCTCTACCCCAGGGGGAAAAAGTAAAGTCTAGGTTTACTATTCGCTAGATTAAACCGCTAGATTCGGTTTCTTATGAGAAGTTTCGAATCTGTGGCCCGCAATACCTCGAACCTTTTCTCTATGTCGTGACATTCGTGAAGAATCCGACGGTACTCGAACTGCAGTTAAGCGAGTCGAACGACTGTCTTTTACGTGGTTAGACGACATACTCGTCGTCGATCTTGTCTGTCCGAAAAGGCGCGAGAACGTCGTTGGCCAATGAGAACTCGGCGGTATTTGGACGGGGCCGGAATAGAGGAGCAGCAGATTTTCGCAGTCAGAGGAGAGCAATATTTCGGAGCTTCCTGATTGGCCCTGCTACTGGGATACAGAAGGAAACGCAGTGAATCCGAAGTGAACTGCGTACGGTTCAGAGGGTTGCGGTTTCGATCTCATATGGGCTCGCTCTCTCTCAGCCTGAGAGAGAGGGCTGAGAGTCTCAGCGCTTGAGGCTCCCGGAAAGTCGTGCCGTCGATTGATTGATCGACGGGGGCCGAATTCGGCTCTCGCAGGAGGAAATCACGGGGTGAACCGACTGGGTCATCGCGGGTGGGAGGGAGCTCCCAAGCCATGTCGGGGGCCTGGCAGATCCGACGTGGGCTCACAACGCACAGGCCGAAGTGAGTTCTGGACACGCTGGCGGTTGAGTGGTTGCTCGAGGGAACCGGTATGCACACGCTGGCAGATCCGTGACCGCCGAGTACCGGTGAAGGGAGAGGGGACAGGGACAGCCGGTCCGCTAGCACTCTCGGCGTCCTTTGGAGAAGAGCAATTGTCGAACATGGCGAGGAGAGCCCGAGCCCGTCTCGCAAGGAAGCAAGGAAGGAAGGAGGCAGACGAGACCGAGATTTGCTATTTTAATGCCCGCAGAGCGTGATCGGAAGCGGTTGGGCCCGATGCTAGTGACGCCTGGACTGATAGGTGGGAGTTGATTGCAGCGAAGGGACCAGAATGAGCGAAGACTAGAAATATTGTCATTCTGATCTGCCTCTCGTAGTCCTGCGGGCTTTTGTACATGTGTCAGGGTTTATTCAGAGGTTTGGCTGAGCACGAGACGAGACGAGACGAGTCTCGATCCAAACTGCTTCCGAATTCCGAGTTTGCAGATTGCGTCACATTTTCTACGGTCGTCCACTGAGAGAGAGAGATGATCGGGAGGAAATTTCGACCGAAGGAATGTGCTGAGCGGGAGGCGGAAAATTCTCAGATTGCGTCGTAGTGGCACTGAGCTTATGCGAGCCAGTGCGTTTGTCTCTGCCTGCCTGCCTGCCATTCGTTTGCACTCATTGTGCGATCAATTTCACCTGCAGCGCCTCTCGGCGAGGCGGTATTCGGGCCTGTGAGATGGAGACATTGTATGCTCTTCGCCCGGATCTGTCTCGTTTGGTCTTGAGAACTGCCGCTGTTGATGCGGATTTCGCTGCTTGATTCATAGAGAGAGATCCGATGCCTGCGCATTGACACCTTGCTTCACGGTTGCGCAACATGAACTGTTTTCTCGCACCTTTGAAGCGCGCGCAAGAGTCAAGCCCACAATGGCAGGTGGCGACCTCCATGGCTAGAACGAACGCAGGACAGGAGCAGAAATTCTGAGTGAAGCCGAATTGATTGATTCCTTGCTGGGACGACGCTGAGCAATTGTTGAGTGCGGTCGGTTTCTCAAGCATCTGTGCCTGCTGGGTGGCAGGGCAGCCAATTCGGTCGGTGGCCATTAAATTTGCATTTATACATCTCACATGTCAACAGAAATCATCCATTGGGGCGGTGGTGTTCGGATTGCGAAACAGTTTCCTTTACGTGCACAGGTGTGGAAAGAAAGTGGAGAGCAAATCTGCATCCCCACATGAGTCCCTGCTCGGGAACTCGATTCATCATCCGATGCATTTCCATTTGCGTCGGGCCAATTCCGAAGAGCGGCCGTCGTTCATCCGGCAGGAACAGAGGTAGAGGTAGATGCAGAGGAGGAGAGTAGCGTAGAGACTCTGCCTCTGCGGCAGAGTCGCGGACAGATTTTTTTCGAGCTCGAGTGGAGATCGGAGTTCGTGCGCGGTTGAGGAGGCATAATTCAGGTCGCCAATGCGAGAAATGAGTGAAGTGGGGAGCTCGGTTGGGGGCGGAGGGGAGCAGGCCGTGGACAGCAGCAGCAGCAGCAGCGAGGGCGAGGGCGAGTATGCGACGGAGCTGCACTTTGCGGTGAAGGAGAACGACGTGACGACGATTCGGAAGCTGATCGAGAGGGGAGCGAAGGTGAATTCGCCGGACAGATTCGGGCGCTCGCCGCTGCACTGGGCCATCGTGTATGGGCATCAGGAGGCGACGAAGGCGCTGATCCTCAACACGAGCAAGAGAGCTCTGGACTCGACGGACAGCTGCGGCTGCACTGCGCTGCACTACGCGGCGCTGGGCGGGAGGACGGAGATCGGGAGAATTCTCATCGATCGCGGAGCTCAAGTGAACTGCGCGGACTCGAGGCAGCGCACGCCGCTGCATTTCGCAGCTCAGCATCCGCAGCCGACGATGGTCGAGATGCTGATCAGTCGCGGTGCCGACAAGCGGTGCAGAGATTTCCGCGAGTATCTGCCGTGCGATGTCGCGCTCGAGTGGGCCAGCTTCTCGTCTCTCGCGTGCTTGCGACCCGATGCCCCGAAGAAGGATCCCAAGCTCAAGGTGCATCCTGTCGAGATCGTCGACTGCCCTGATGCTCGAGCTGCAGCGGTGGATGTGGTGCAGCGCAAAGGCCCGTCTCTCGACAAGCTGCTGGAGTCGTGGAAGAGTGCGGAGACCGAAGCCAGGCGCAAGAAGGAAGCGGAATCGCAAGTGGCTGCCAGATCGTTTGCCGATCTGCAGCAGAGGCTGCAAGAGTGGAGGGCGGCCGAGCTCGACGCCCGGCAGGCGCATCGAGCCGACAGCAGCAGGCCGTCGTTCGTCGACGACTGGGGCAACGACGCATTTTCGTCGTCGCCATCGCCAGCGTCATCGTCTGCTCTCCCGTCCTCGTCTTCGCACCCCGCTTCCTCTTCCTCGCCTTTCCACGACCAGACGACGGCCATGTCCCAGGACTCTTGCAGCGACGAGTCGCCATCGTACGCGTCGTCGTCGAGGAGCTCTGGTCAGGGCGATGCGACCTCGCTTGCCGGCGTTCCGGATTGGTTGATGGCTGCAGATTGTCGCAGCAGCAGCAGCAACAGCAACAGCAGCAGCAGCGGCAGGAAAGGGCTGAAGGAGGCGTTGTTGTGGTGCACGGAATGGGAGGTGGAGCATCCTCATCCTCGTCGAGCTTCTCAGAGTGAGCAATTGAGTCATGATGACGATGCGCAGAATCAGTCGCCCCCAAAATCTCCCCGCGAGAGGAAAGGGAAAGCGAAAGCATTTTCTGAGGAGGAGCCGGTGTGGGTGCAAGTGTGGCCAAAACCCTCCTCTTCCCTCTCTTGCACTACTTCCCTTTCTCCCCGATCTCAGACGCTCGCTTCCATGTGATCATTCCGTCTCTCCTCTCTCTATATCTCTCTATACCTCTTAATACCAATTCAGCAATCCGCTAATTTTGATCCATTCCCCTCTCGTTGTCTGACCTTGATTGGCCTTGTGGAAATGATTACAAGCTTCAGAGCTTCCGGTCTTGGTTGTCATGATGAGATTAGATGAGCATATTGCTTGGGAAGATAACTTGTGTACTTTGGCATCGTGTGAAACTTGTACTGGGGTGAAAGTGAGACTGGTTAGATGGCGGGTGGTGTTATGTGTCTTGGGTTCTGAGAGTTGAATGATGGACACTGCTACGGGCGGTGGTGTTTCTCTCGTGGGTAACTTAACTGCTATGATGGACTCGATGGAACATTCTTTTTGAGAGTTTTGCAAGTTGAAAGATTGGTTGCCACCACGAGAGCTAGTAGGATTTTGATGGATTCTGTTTTCTGGCCCAGCAGCAACTAGAAGAAGCTGAAAGGAACGTGTGTGCATTCTCTACGTTCATTACCTCGTGCATTATGAAGGAGATGTTCGCCGATGACGGAATGGTTGCTGATTTGCCACAATTACAATCGAAGACTGCGAGTATATCTGATCTTGAAGGCTTGCAGAGAAAGTTCACCAAATTGGCTGTAGATTGTTGGTGACGAGTGTTGAGAGTATTTCCTCTCGTTTTCGGTGGTTGACAACAGACGGCGTTCGCCGTTCATGATAATCCCATATGTTCTGATCACACAGTTGTAAGGAATGATTTACGCGAGATAAAATTATGGATGACATATCACTACTACTTGGCGTCCACACACCTCCGAGGAGAATTCATGCTCAAAGCTTCCAGTGCCAGATAGAGTGCATCGTATCTCATCCAACAAATTTCGAAAGTATGCATGAGGTATCCGTTATTACAATCCAGAATAAATTGCCATTATTGGACCGTAAGAGAACCTCAATGATTAAGATATCCATGATGCGGTCAGGTAGCTAATGTAGAAGGTGACTACTAAAGAGCAGGACAGAAGTTTCACTCAAGCTACAGCTATTGTTCACGATCTCTATATCTATGAATGCAGTATGTATGACAGGATCAAACTGTGTAAGCTCAGAAGAGTGACCAGTATTACGAGCTGGCACAGCGTGCAATACATGGTGCTCGCAGTAGATCCAATTCCGTACACGTGGTAACCCTGAAGCCCATGCGACAATGAAGTGGATAGGTCAAGCCATCTACTGCATGCACTCTGATTGAAGGCCATACCAATAAACCGATCACATCAGAACCTTCCAGCAAATCAGTTTAAAAGCTCGATAGTCTCCTTCAAAATTGACTGACACTAATATAATTGTGTATCTAACTGAAAGTAGTCATTGGCATCAACCGCTTCCACCTGTAAATCAAGTTCAGTTTTTGAACGTCACTTTTCCGAAACAAGCTCGTCAACAGGCACACGACCTATGGCTTACAAGCTCGACTAGCTTCCATTTCTGCAAAAAATTCCAGAGATATGACAGAATGATGCACTAGGTGCTGCTTTAATAAATTTCAACATTTCTCCATAGAGAATATCATTTAGACCTTCAATAACGATGATGAAGGGTGTAGACGCTAACGTACAGAGGTGGAATGCACAAATGTGTAAAGGTTGCAAGAAGAAAACTTCAGTCCAGTCTCAGTGCATACTGGAAGACTAGAATGCACGACCCAGCGACAGCTAAGAAGAAATGGAATGAATCAATAACAGTGACCGAATTCTAGAAACGCTAGAGAGATCTACCGAATTGAGTGGACTTCAAACATAACTCCTCTGAAACACTACGGAAGTGGCCATCAACCTAACTTCCAATCAAGAACTGTGAACTAGTCAGGAAGAAGCTTAAAACAAATGGTTGAGATTTAAGCAACGGTGACTTAAGCCAGGAGGAGCTCACAGATATTCTGAATGACATCCACACGTCCAGTCCAAACCCATACGTGTAGTTCTCCTCGGGCCATGTGCGAAAGAACACAATAAAACCTCTTCTCTTCTTACATCTTTCCTCCGCTTACACTATCCAGCCTGACTTTCATACTTCTCTCGGGAGTGTGACACAGAAGATAACTCCACCAGACAATTATGTAGCCAAGTACTATATCAGACATCTACAAGCCGACGAAGCATGAAGGCTACTATTATTCCAACCTCAGACAGGAGAATTGAAATAATAGCCTGCCGGAGTGTCTCCAGTTCAAACCGGCTTCCAGAGTGGAAGCTGTCAGTCTCATACGTAACAATTTAAATCGTGTCAAAAAAGTAAAGCTCACTCGTGGCTACCATGGTGGATGAAATTGAACGAAGCTATAGACAGGTAAGAATATACAGAGGCCTGCACAAGACTGATCCTTTCAAGAGAGAAATGGATCAAGTAAGCTCTCAAGTTGACGATAGAAAGCTATATGGAATCGATATCTCTGCCGATGATTCCCTGGACTGCAGAAGTGTAGAGAACAGCCAGATTCTTCGAACCCACAGAGCCATCTGCTGAAGAATTCGGGTTCCCCTCATTTCGTATCAATGTCTATGTCAATAATTTGAGGATCAACCTTGGAATCCTTTGAGAAATCTGTTCTTGGTTGCCAAACTACTCCTCGGCAACGACTGCACTGCACAATTTGGTTTCGGCCACCCACGTACTGCATTCCGCAATTTGGGCAATTTCCCTGCACGATGGCGGCTTTTCCGATTTTGCTCAGCAGTAAAGGGACGAACGGAATCACCCACATGGACAAAAGTAAGAGTCGGAAAAACCAGCCGGACACAAGTAGCCAGAAAAAGAAAAGTGTGGCAGCAGACTTGCCCACGGGTGACTCCAAGAATGTGCTGATTTGCCTTCGATAAGAAGGCCATTTCAAACGCAAATCAGCCGTGAGGTCCCTAGCTTTCCGGCCAGCCCCTAATTGGCGGTCGATGCTCTGCACTTGCTCGGAAGCGTACTCGAATGCCTGTTGTGCCTTCTCCGTTAACCCATACTCCCGATCGAACTTAGCAGCCCATCTCTTGACATCGTACCCGACCTCCTCCAGCTTTCGAATGGCAGCTCGAGCGAATTTGTTCAGCTTGGCCTGCAAGTCATCGTCCTTCTGGAACTCTGCGGCTTTCCTCTTGGCCTGCTCGAACACCTCCTCCGCCTTGCCTGTGAAAGCCTTGGCAGCCTCTTCCGCTTTCCTGCGGGCATCCTCCGCAATCCTGCTCGCCTGATTCTCAAAATCCCGACCGTTTCCCGTAGCTTCGCACGCGATGATCCATCGACTGCCCTGATGGGGAGCGTGAGCACCTCGTCTCAACGACGCGGACCTAAGAGGACCCTCAAAATTGCCACACCGCCTAAAACCTACCTGCGAGGGTCTGACCAGAGGAAACAATCCATCGCTACCACTCCGACTGCGCGACAGAGCGAGCACTGCGGAAGGCACCGAGACCACCGCCATAGACATAGATACGAAATTCGACAGCGCGCAGATTCCTCGCTTCTGAACCCCAGCGGATGAAAATTCTCCCTCCCTCGACGATCAAACGCCCGCCCCACCGCACGACAATTCCGAAGATTCACACCCACCCCGCTTCAGAGCCTACAAGCGTCGAGGATTCTAGCAGAGGAGGCAGCAACAGTGGCAGTGCAAGTAGCGTAGGGCGCCTAAACAGACCGCCATAGACAGGGACGAGGCCGAACCCGAGCCAGAGACGAGCGGTTGAATTGCTCGCTCGCTCGCTCCGTGCTGCCTGCCCTCTCGAGAACGACTGACGGACGATCAACGAGTCACAGGGCAACAGAGCGCAACGGAATACGACATGCGAATCCAAATCTTCACGGAGGCGGCCACTGGCAGTCGCAGACGAAGGATCACAGCCTCGCTCCTCTGCCTCGATGTCGTGCTCTCTCCCGTCCCGTCTGCGCTGCTGCTGATTCGCGAGCAGGCCCGGCAGCACGACAGCCGCGACGGCCTGAATGTGTGGCAGCCATGGGCCTGGTGGGCCTGCTGCTGCTCACGACACCCTACCCCTTCCCCCGGTCGCCCATTCACCTGGTCGTTTCCTTCGCAGCCGGTTTCCCGTCTCGACGTTCGCTTCTGGGTTCTCCGCGTTCGGCATGTTATATTATTGTGTCCGTCAGATTCCGACGTTCTCCTTCGCTATCTGGCGCATCTGAGCTCATTGCGAATCATCGTTTCTAATCAATGTTTTCAATAACGTCTTCCATCAAAATCTTTTTGATAGAGTAAGCGCTGCACTTGTTGTAACGGAAAGGAGGAAAGACTCCGGGAAGTACATTAGACACTAGATTAAATCCACAGTTTTAAACAAAATTTCAAGTATCAAAATTCTTGAGTTTTATTCCAAGCTATAGTCAAACACCCTCATTTGGTGATTGTTTTCAACTTGTCTTCTTTGTACTGTGCTATAAAACACGACAAAGGGAAGAGAGAGTCCCCTTAGCTTGATTAATCTGCTGCGATGACATATAAGAGTAACATGTTAGCTCCTTCATTTCAACCTCAAGCTTGATAACACTCACCATTATGTCAAAAATAACATCAAGTTGATCCATATCAAGGTAGTTGGTGCCAGGTTCATCTTACTTGGATTCAACAATTGGTCCAAAACAACATAATTCATAGGTTTTTCAATATACTCAAGCAAATTTTCCTGATACATATGCTAATCCTCGTTGTCATCATTCAAACACTTCTCAATCTTACCACTATAACATCAGTCTCACTGGTCCCATCAAGAAGATTACGATTGCTTAATTATTTCAGCAACAATGATATCATCGCAATCGTTCGTATCAACGTTGTCAAATTCAAGAATAATATATGTTTTTTACAACAATTTTTGAGACTATAAGTAGAAATTTCGTTCCAAGCAATATTTGCAAATGTGGAGATCTTTCGTAAGTAATTTCAACGACGCCTTGTTTGAGTTTCAAAGCTACTTATGCAAGTTAATCTTTAAGTTCTTCTGGATTACTATAAAATGGGACAATATCTTTTAGGAGAAGATATTTGTATTGCATTTTTACAACTGCGATGATATCATGTTCATTGATCATTTCCAAGAGGCGGAAAGAAGCCTTCTTTCTGACTTCTTTAAGAAGTCAACATGAAGGTCATTTCGCTCAAAAATAGTAGTATGACTAGGAGCATTGTCAAGAAGCAACAACACTTTGTGTCTAGTCTGTCTGTGAACATAAGTGTCAAAGATCTCATCAAATCATTAATTGAATGTCGGTACATCTATCGAAGCATTTTTATGATAAAAATAAGGAATGGGCCAAATGTTTTCGGCAATGCAGTTGGATTGTTTTGATTTTTCAATCATTTTGATCAAGACTCATTTTGTTTCACTGGCATTACAAATCATCACCAATGTAATCATGTCTTTTGCACGCTTTTTGTTTCGAATAATGATAAGATCTTCATGAGACATTAGCACAGTATATTGTGCAACGACAAAGAAAAACAATCCAATTTCATTCATGTTGTAAACGCATGCCGTATCATATTGGCCAATCAAGATAAACAAGTATTCGAAAGCTTTTCATGTTTGTGGATTGTTTCTATCAACCTTACCACCTTCTTCAAACAAATTTACGCTATTTAAACCGTGTCAATGTCAAAATCTCGCAAACCAGTCCCACGATATCTTGAATTTATCATCAGCAATCTTCATTGCGGTGGCAATGTGTTTTGCTCTATGGCAGATAATACTAGGAGGCAAAACAAGCGAAGCTCGACATACTATGGATGTAAATAAATACATATGCGGCATAAATTAATTATTTTTGTGGACTAAATGTAAATTACATAGAAATTCGATTGATTTTTGTTATAATCCTATTTTTCATCTAATTTGCTATATCTTTATAAAGTCAATGTGATCATGAAAGTAGTGTAAGTTAGACATAAATCTTGAATATAAATTCAGAACCAATAAGTGTGAAATGAATCATAATCATCAAGCAAAAATACCATTATTTGATACATTTTAGAGGTAGTGAAGAAAGCATTGTAATTGACTTAGCTTTGATGCAATGGAGGATAAAAATTAGCAAGATACATTCGTGGTGATATCATTATTGCTGAAATAAAGTTAAGAAAAATACCTCCAGCCCGTTTAATCATATATCATGATTTCTAAGAATTTATTGTATATATATGAATACTTTTCATTTGAATTTGCAACCTTGAAATGAAATAAGTTTTCTTTGACAACGTCAACAATTTCCTTGAATTCTACTAATGAGTTTAGTTTTCTCGCTTTTTCAATTCAAGGAATTTATAATTCAATATTATCATTCATTTAGTGTAGTTTCAGCTTAAAAAATTAAGGAAAAAGTTTGGAAATTTGATGAAAATCATCAAACTCCAATGAAATATTAGTTTATTATTAACTGAAAATCATACATGTGTTTATGGTGATATATACCATTTTATTGATTTATAAGAAATTTTACGTACAATGATAGTACAATTTGTTCTTCTTGTAAAATTTTCAAAGTATTTATATAAAAAAACATAAAATTTATTCAATAACACTGAAATCATCATCTAAGAATCACACAAATTGCTCATGTGGCGTTGATGAATAATTCACTGCAAATTCAACTTTAGATCAACTATATTTTATCTTAATTAAAATCTATTTCATTCTTTATTGATTACTATTTATAATTTATATAAGATAAGACATTCTCATTTAAAATATATAATAACTCTTTGAATTGTGCAAGATGTATTTTCTTGTTTATTCACATATTAGATTTGATAAGAAATATATTTTTTAAGCTAATTTTTTATCTCAATCAACTCATTTTGACTATGATGCTTTTAAATATTAGTGTAATGAAAAATAAAATTCTGTCTCTTTTTTAGAATCTTTCAATATGACTAATATAGGCTATGATTATTGTCATGAACTAGAAAAATAACATCTTGCATGATTCATCCGCTGTGTGATAAGTTCATCATGTATAAGAAACTCTTCAGATATTTAAAAGATAACTGCATTACACAAATTGAATATTAAAATCAGGTTTCAAAACAGTAATTGTTATATTCAAACTCCATCTAAAGTAATATGATCTGACTTGTCTTCTTATACATTATCAAAAATGTTCTTGTGCTGAAACTGCAGAGTCAGTTCTTAACTTAGTCCCTCAAAAATATACTCTTACTTCTGAAATTGCTCTATTTTGAGTTATATATCTCTAGAATTTATCGTTTTGAAAAAGATGTAAAAATTGTAAAGATTTTTCGGAACAATATATTGTTGGAAGCATTCACTTAGCAAGTTTTTCGTCAAAAACCTCACTAATAGAAATTCAAGTGTTTGTTCTGGGAATCCTATGAACTACAAGGAGTAGGAGGAGTTTCAAGACGTGGTAATTATCGACAACAAATCAAAAGTACAATGCATATGAACTGAGATTGAAACCTCAAAGATGATACTCTAAAACAGGATCTAGACGTCCAGGTCGGATACTATTAGCCTTCAGGATACCAAGGATCAACAAATGTAACAAGTGATAAAATAGAAGTTTTACCTTTATATCAAAGGGCGCCGTTAGTCTTGTAAAATGATGTCTCCTACACTTCCAGCAATTAAAGTGATGGAAGAGGCATTATGAAGATAAGAACAAAAAAAAACTAAAACAAGAGGTGCAGTTAACTTCTCACAACTGTTCCAGGCTATTAGATCTCAATCAGCAGGTCACACAGAAAATCCCCAGAAACTCCAACCAAGCATTACAAAGACATTCGGATTGGACTCAGAAAGGGGGTTGAACAATGTAGTATAAGTGGGATCCCTGTGACATCTTCTAAATTACCCTGACATGGTACTGTGGAACCTCATCAGAAGGTTGGACTGGCATATACCCGGAGTTACCCTCACCGAATACTACTCAATCCTAACAGCGGCTATCTCACATCGATGTTATATAGGTAAACACGACAATGAGGAGATCCTTCCACTACTCTATAGAACACATTCATCACATATCTTATTCTGGAAACAGATTCCGAGACTTCCTTTCACAAACTTACGGATCGGCCCTGCAAGAGTCACAGAACCGGCAAAAACGCAGGCCTGATGTTACACACAAAAAACGCAAGAGCTGCAAAAGAGAAACCAAGTCGCATAAACAAGCGAAAGAAGAGTCTCATAGAAAATCCCTAAGAGCGTTTAAATACTAAAGATTCAAAACCTAACTACGACCGCTATGACTGTTTCCAAAACCCTAGCCGTCATCGGAACCGGATTTCACTTGCCGAGTATTTTATATGTGACAACCACTTGGTCATCGCATTTTGCCGCCAACAGCCTGTTGTACCCAACCAAGTCTTACAGAACCCTAACCAAGTATTCTTGAAGCCCTAGATCTATACTTAGAAGGTTCGAAACTAATCTACCTGACACATTATTCTAGTTTGCGATTAATTCAGAAAAACCAGATACCGGATCAGTGTCCAGCTAACTTTTCAATTCATGTTATTATAATTTTATCACACCTACTCCGAGATTGTTTTCTACTTTTATTTACACTCTCATTTTTTCACCAACTTCACCTAGCAAAGAAGTAGTGTAAACTACTTAGAATAGAAAAATATAGTTGATTTTGCGCGGAGAGCAATCTTAGCTTCCCACAATATTTATTTAATAAATGATTTTTTTTTGAAATTCAAACGTTAATGCATGTTTCAATAAATTATAATTTACTGAAACATGCATTACAATTTAACTTTTAATAATTAAAAGTTTATATTAACTACTAAAATTAAATAAAATTGAACAACTATTAAAATAGTTATTCAACTGTTATTTTATACATTATCAACTTTTTATAATAATATTTAATTCTTTTGAATCATTAGGTAGCTCAAAACTGAACATATTAGCAAAGATACAAGTTTTTGTCCTTC